AGAACAAAGTGTCAGTATTTTAATCCATGCCAGATTTTGATCAGATTCCCTCCAATGAATGCAGATGGATGGAAAATAGAAATAATCCTCCTGTTCTCAGCCAACAGGACGGTATTTATCTATATGCGCCATTTATTATACTTGCATTAAGCTCCATTTGATAATTATATATTCTCTGATAAAAAAAAATTCTGTTACATTGACCACAATTTGAAATCAATGCCAATATATTTCTCCACTGAACCACTCCTTATGGAATAAAGCACCATAGCCTCTCAATGAACCAGCTCTCCTTCATTACTGTGCTGATTAAGCAATAATAATAATACCAGTTTAAGAGGTTGCAAATTAATTTGTCAGCTGACAATAACAATACCTTCCTTATTGTTCAATTAACACCGATTCGGTCAATTGGAAATTCTTTGTTGCAGGCTGACACTCCAGTATAGTGGTGATGGAAAACTGCAATATTAGAGGTGCTGATATTGAGAGTTTAGATATTCTTATGAATCCATATGTCACCAGGCAACACCTGGGAATAAAAATCACTTACATGTTTTAAACAGTTGTTTTAAAGGCAGCTTGAGCACATATCCTGTGGGCACCTTCCTGATGAGTGCATCTGAGTTGTGTAGATCTGGGGAACCAGGGGAAAAACAGATTCATACCTTGAAATTTATATTACAAAAAAACGTAGACCTGACTCATTTCAGCTCCAATTCCTGGTGGTTACATCAGAAGAAATCATGACTCATTTTGTTCATTTAGTCAGTTTAACTGGATCACGTAACATTGATTTATTAGCTTGAAGCGATACAGTGAAATGCTGTGAGAGCAATAGCCAGCATGAGGAATGAATTAATGTTTTAATGGCCCTCTTACCTTGTGGGGAAGATTGAGCTGAGCTGTACACAACAGCACTGGTTTCTGTTTGGAGAAATGCAGCCTGCTTTTTAAGTAAAAATTGTTAAAATAATAACGATCCTTACATTTGATGTAGCTCCTTTCATATTGGGAGGACACCTTGAAGCGCTTGAGAGGATGTACTGTAAAATGTAGTAGTGACCTTGTGTTTGTAGGTGAAAGCAGTGGCCAATGTGAGCACAACAATATCTCATAAACAGCCATGAATGACCAATTTTATTTGGAGGATTGTTGGTCAGGATACCAGAAGAAGCTCCCTTCATTTTTATGGCTGAAAATTCCCTGTCTATACATACAAGTAAAGCCTGCATCCGAGACTAATAATATTTACACGGCACAATCAAGAGATTGCAGCAAATAATTCTACAATTGTATCTCCGTTCTCTGGAAAATTCTGGATCTGTCAAACCAGAGTACAGTACACTATACATATGCACCAGTTGTTTAGCCAGCTGTGTATAGTAGAGGCAAACATTATTGTCATGATCCCTGTTGAAAGCAAAAGCATTCAATTGTAGGTGTATAATGATGTGTGTCTTCCTTAAAGATGGCTATCTGTACAAAAGAGTCTTTGCTCTCCAGAAATTCAGACAATGGGGACAGTTAGTAAAAAAAACACAATTTCTCCTGGTGCAGTGCAAAGTCTCACCTGTGGGATAATATCAAATTGTATGTGTAGGGGGAGGAAAGAGGACAGAGTGGAAACTATCTGCAGTTAAGGAGGCGAGAGATCCTTGTCACCCTACTTCACATAATATTTAAGTATCCATTAACACCTACTTGCCTCAATTATCCCATTCTCTCAACTGAGCACTAAGGATTGATCACATATTAAAAGAGCACATTCAGCTTTGCAGTGGGAAATAAAAGGACAGAGCCAGTCAGGAACCTTGCTGAGTAAAGTGTGTCAACTGATCTAAGGATTAGCATGGACTCGCATAAGGATGTGAAACAAAGGGTGTTGCTGTGTGAGTGTTCAATAAAGTAGGTGCAGACAGCTGTCTGCACAGCTCAAGACACTTGTTTCTCATGTTACAGAAGATGCATATGTCCCAGTTGTGCAGGCAGCTGTCTCCAGAGTAGCAGTTCTGGAGAGTTAAACACTGTATTCATGCTGCATCACTAAGGCTATATAAAGTACAGACAGACAAGTTATGTGAAGGGAGTATATCTTCCTGTCACTTACTGAGTGCTACTTTTCTGTGTGTGTGTCTGAAGGGGGAGGATAAGGATCTTTGTACTTTTATTTAGAATAATCGTTGCATTTAATGGTGCTTTTGCATGGACGGAGGGAGGGGATCTCAAAATTTTACTGTAAAGAATCGGTACTATAGATTTGTTGGTGAAAGACAGGTGGCCTTGGCACTTCATTGTGATCATTTCAGGACTTTTTACCAAGTTTTAAGATTGGAGGTATTCTGAATGTCATTGACCCTCTTTGTAGATAGAGGATGTCAAATCCATCTATTGTCGGACTTGGATTTATCATTTGTTCTATAAGTAATTAACATATTTGAAAAGCAATGCGTATGCTCAGGCAGCAGTCAGATGCCTAGGACATCTCCGTGCAGGGATTAGTCTGAGGCCTAAACACCTGACCCAAATCTTGCTTCTAACACCAAGGTCCAGGCATCTAAACTGTGCTACAACCCAACGCTATTTCCCCCCAACCACAAACCTGCACACAACATACCTGGGGCATTTGCAAGTATTGCTCAGTGACGTTGAAAGGAATGTGTGTGGTAAACACATGCCTGTGGTCATGATGTCAATATTTACTGCAGTTGTATTCTGTCAATATAATCTAACTGGGATTTCTTTCACTACTAACGTTATTGCAGCGTTAATTTTACATGTCTGTATTTTAGTAATTTCATAAAACAGAAATTGTGTGTTTAAAAAAAAATCCAGGTAACTTCTAAGCTAAACTAAATACATGACTGGATGCAGGGCTGATGCCTGCATCTGCGTTCTAACCTCTCAGTCCTGTCAATGATGGGAGAGGAATTGATTTTTGTGTTTCTAAAAATAACAAATTAAATCAAGTTAAAGTAATTTATGGTGAGATAATTCAGGCAGGTCTAGATATCTGATTCGTGAGCTTTGGTGTTTTTTTTTAATTTTTAGCATTCAGCAATGTTCAGACTAAAGCCACCAGCTGCAATAAGACACCTTTCTTCATGCTTTCTTAAGACGTTCTATCGAGAGGCAACACTGCACTGTCAGAGGTGCCATCTATTCGATCTGATTTTTAAACCAAAAGCCTATTTGCCTCCTTTGGTGGACAATAAAGATTGTGGGACTCCTCACCAAAAAAAAGGGAGTTCCTTCAGATAACAATAATAATCCTTGCATTTGATAAAACGCCTTTTCATGTCTTTGAGGTGTCTCAAAGCACTTCACAGAATATATTAAGTGAATTGATTGTATTTTGTGGGTGAAACTTGGCAGCCAATTACACCCAGCAGTGTCCCACAAACCGTCATGGATTAAATGACTAAGTTATTATTATTTTTGGATGAATTATTTGTTCACTTTGTCTGATTGTGGGACCTTGGATGATGTAAATGATTGCTCAATTGTCTACAAAGAAACAATTGCTACACTTGATGGTAATGACCCATGAAGTGTTTGGGGACATTTGGACTTGATGAGGTACTATAAAAATGCAAGTTCCTTTTTCCTGTTTACTGAGAGCCAGCAGCACAATCCCAGAGTTTGTATTTATGGATTTGGCCACTCTTGTATTTGGTCACAAGGCTTTCTCCCCTCGCATATTCCTGATGTTCAAGGCGTTTTCTCTTTCCTTTTTTACACCAAGCTTTCAGTTGGTAATATATATGTTGAAATATAAATAACAATCTGCTTTAGGTAAATCTTTCTCATAGAATTGCAATTCTTCAATAGAAAATTATCATTTTATTTGGGTACATTGAGCCACATTCACCTTGCTACCTGATATTTGGTAATAGATTGAAATAACAATGTATGTTACAGCATGGATGTTATAAGGAAGGAGAGAGAGAAGGGGATTTAAAAACAAGTTAGATCTTTATCAAGTTTTCACACAGAAAAAATAACCTTCACTTGTTGAGAGAAGGAAAATGACCAGTGCAATCAACAAACCAAACAGTAGATCAATGCGTAAACCGGCGAGGTCATGTTTACCTCTCCATTCTCTAGTGGAAGTAAAATACATTTACAGCGCGCAGTAAGAAAATATAACATTTCATACGCAAGTGTTGGCTAAAGCAGTAACTATTGCAGTCCTCTAAAACAATGATGTTGGATTCAAGTATTTTACAATGTGTTGCTTAAGTCTGTTCTTAAGTAAGCAAAACTTTGAAACTATTGTTAGTGAAACAACAGTCTTCTCACACCCTCCTGATATTTTTTCCCATAGGAAGATTTTTTTTGATTGTTGACATCTGAAGCCAATTACCATTTGTTTAAGAAATCTGGGGTGAGAAATTTCTGCTGCTATGTGTAGCTACTTTGACATGACTTCTTAATGTGGTTTGCTCATGTCTAAACTTACAAGTTTTGCAAAAGGATTTAAATGTCAAATCCTTTTGGTTACTGGATGTGTCTCAGCCAGCCCATCTAGAATTCCCCTCAGACTGATCAATCTCTGATTCTCCATGTACTTTCATGAAGCCAAATTGGATGGTTCTTTTGCCTGGCAGGAGATTGACATCAATGCAGACTTCTACATGGTCAGCTAAAGTCGCATCCAATTATCTGCAGATTCCAAAATGGCCAATTTTTTTTCCAGAGTCGTGAAAATTAGACCTTAGTACCAAAGCTTCTACAGTTGGAGTAATTTCATTCCAACCTGTTTCTAATGGTTACTATAGTAATCCTTGCATTTGATATAGCACCTTATCACATCGTCGAGACGTCTCAAAGTACTTTGCAGAATATACTCTAAAATGAACTGAACCTGTATTTTATGGGCGAAACAATGCACAGCATAGTCCCAGAAACAGTTGTGGATTGAGTGACCAAATTACTATTTTTTTTGAAGGAATTCTCACCCCAGGAACACGACCCGCCAATTAACTAACAACCAGGGTCCTACTTACTGCTAGGTAAACCGAGGCTTATGGAGTAAGGAAACTGGCCTATGTTACTAGCAGGTAGCTCTTACACGTTACTATATGCTGACTGGATAGATTATCAGTGGTACATATTATTCTCATTCCTATTTTTTATTTAGAAGCTTTGAATTTAGGTAGCAGTTTGATTGCCAGTATAGATGACCAAATTCTGAAATATGAGCTTGGCTCGCAAATTGCTGACCTGAATGCACCAAAGGAACTACAGTATTAGGCACCATTTAGAAAATTTAAATTCAAGATCCCCATTCAATTTAGTAGCTATTGAAACTAGTTATTGCTCCCCTATTGAAGTTAGAAGTTTTCCCCCCACCTCTCTCTCTCTTCTCCCTGCTCCCCTCCCTTTTTCTGTAGCTTGATCAACGCCTGATACATTTAAGGATCAGTGGCTGGATTTGAACATAAGGCAATGACCTGAAATTGTTAGTAATAATTTCTATTCAAATTGTGCACATTTGTCAAATTACATTTTTACTGATAACACCCATCTAGAAATCAAATGAAAATGGACTGCACTTTAGTCCAGATAAATCCATTTGCGGAATTACCCATTTTTCACAAATACTGTTTTGGTTTAACCTTTCCAATGTATTGAGTTCCTTACCATTGGAGGCTTAGCTTGAGCAACTCATTCAAGACACCTCCTCTCCCCATTTCACTTTGCAGTCAAGTAAGATTACCCGACTACAGATATAATCATCACAAGATCCATAACTCCTTTTCCTAACCACAACAGTTTCCTACACTTAGGAAAAAGGAGATGAATTGCAAACACCCTCATCCCAAAAAGCAATACAGGAAGTCTATACTTCCTAATCAGTCTCTTAGTATGAAAAAAAGTTAGAATATAAAGCTATTAAATTCAGAATGGGTGGAATTCTAACCCCGTTGACTTGAAACGGATGCAGCTCCAGCCAATGTCTCTTTAAAATTGCTGCACAGGTACAAATAATCCAGACTTCTGTGCTCTACGTCACAATACACCGTTTCATTTCGTCACCTTCAATTCTCAAACCAAGCTATTCTACAAAGGGCTGACAGAACAGTACTGGATTAACCACCCTTGCTTGCTTTGCTAAATTACACCCAACCCTTTCCATTTGACACATCTCATTTCTTTTATAGAGATGCAGAGCTGCCAGAGGGGAAAACTGCACACCATTAATAACAATAACCTTGCAGGTTACCAAATGCCAGGACATCATTAATATTCAAGCTTATGGCGATTGGCAAATAATAGTTCCGATGAAAATCCATTTTGTCCCCAGTTACAGAAACTGAAGCTCCACAGTGATTTCATAGAATTATACTAATGAAAATAGTATTCATAGTACATTTCACAGAAAATGGAATTATTTGTAAAGAATCTTAAAGAGTGTGTCCTGGTTTCTTTGTTGAACAGCTGTCTGTATATGATAAAACGTCAGTGCTGAAATCCAAGAGGGTTTTTCCTGCTCTGCCGCTGATCAGTGTGGCCTGCTGTTGGAATCCAAACAGTCTGTTTTGTAAAGTGATCTGTAGCCATTCTGACGCTTGCTTTGGCCACCATTTAGGATGTCCTGAATGTGCTGCACTATCAAGTTTATGGCAACTAGAGGGGAGAACAAAAACAAGAATTTTTTAAAACTGTTATTTTAATTCCTGCTTCTCAACTTTAGTTAATTGATTTATATCACAGTGGGGATTATCTTGTTGAATTATCGAATCAAGTTCTGAGTTATGCACTGAGGAACTACGGAATTTCCAACCACCATCTCCACTTTACCTCAGTTTGCTGCCCTGCACCGAACGTCTTACTGTCATCAACAAACTTGAAGACAAACACTAACCTGATGGTGGTGGTAGAGAGAGAGAGAGAGAGGGGAAGGAGAAGTACTTCTAAATACTTAGACTGGAAAAAAATACATATTTTTGTGAAAAGATATTTGACAGTCAATTCAAACACTAGTTTGAAGCCAAACTGGGAGTGAACCTTTTTTATCTTGGGATGTCCTCCCGACATGAAAGGCTATACAAATGTAATTTTGTTGTCTAATGGTACTGTTCTATTTTAAAACGGGTTCCAGATAGGTGTTCCTTTGGAATACCGGGATTTCAATGCCCCAAATCCAAGGATCCGGAATCTCTGTGGTCCTTCTCTGCACCAGTGGGTTACCTAAGAGAGAATGTCCCTCTGCGGGGAGGGTTACCAGGAGGTTTAAACACCCACCTGTCTGCTTCTCCGCAGCTCATTCTCGCGGAAATCTGCGGCCCGCATTTGGTGGAACGTGAAGACCCACCCTTCCCTTCCGCCCGGGCTCGGACTTTATACAACCCCGGAATCCCAGGATTCTCTTTTAATGAATCCCAGGATAATGGGAGCACTGTTGCCATATGGGATTCTGGGATCAGGATTCCCAGGATTGGAACTTCCAGAGATGTGCGAGTAGACTCATCCTGTAAGTCATTCTTCAGTGTGTAAATAAGTGAAGCAACGTCTTATAGCAAACAGCCAAATCAGCAAAGGAGAACCGGGCAAATTTAGGCTTTCCGGAAGGCGGTCATCTCAGGATGGAAAGAGTTTGATATTTTAATAAAAATGAAAAGCTGCTTTACCCAAGTTATCCACTCCTCTTGGAATGATGACATCTGCGTATTTCTTTGTCTGTTTGGTGGGGAGGAGAAAGGTAAAACACGTTATTACTAAGCGTGAAGCACAATGCAATGACAGATTAAGGGCAGAGAACTCCAAATACTCAAAACTACAGAGGAAAAAACATGCATGAAGCTAAATAGCATTTATGCAACTGTAACATCAACTCAGAGGCTCAGAAAATAAAGCATTATCATGTTTAAGAATATCCACAGTAGACAGCGTTCCACCTAGGAATGCAACCTATACATGAATATTTTCCAGTGTCTAGAATGGATCACTCTCTCCCTGGGGGAACACAGTGTAGCAGGTGGAAACAGCTTTGAAGTACTTTCACATAAATTTAGCATTTACTGTATTCTGCACTGTACTGGTGTCCAAGACTTACAGAATTCAAATGAGCCCATCCTCAACTCTAGTCAATGATTTAATTGTTTCAAAGCTTTACCACATCATACATTTATAAGCTTCTTGTGAAAAATCTATATCAAACACTACTGCTGTTGGAGAAAAAAGATCAACCATTCAACCCCACCCACGCCTCTCTCTTCTGCAACTAAAAATGTTTTTAAAAAAGGTGGCAACAAAATAAACTAAGCTTTACAGTAAATCATGTAATGTGTTCTGTGAGTGTGAACATCCTCCTGACGTGAAAGGCACTGTATCAAATGCATGTATTATTATTATTGGATGAATATTATTTTAACAGAATTTAAAGTATTAAAGTTTTAGTTTAGAAGCTGAAAGTAAATTTCACTTACGGGTAGGCAGAACTCTTCAAATGCTGGCTTGACAAATGTTATATACTGTGTTAAAACCTGTTCCAGGTCCCGTTGTCTTTCACTGATGTCTCTCAAAACTGAAATAAAACAAAAGTGGTGTTTTCCACTGCTTTCTGGCAATAACCACTATTTCACAGTTCCAAACCAAATTTCTAGATTATAGTTGATTTTGCAATTTGCAGATTTTATTCCAAATGTATTGTGTACAAAAAAACTTCACTTTTATTACATCTTAAATATTTTTATCCTCCTATAATTGTAACCTTGAACTGGATGCGGAAAATGTCAGTCTGCATATTCTAAAGTAATTACTGCAGCAACAAAATTATGTTTGTAAAGCACCTTTCACGTCAGGAGGATGTACCAAGGCGATGAACAGTCAGGGATCAGGACTCGAGCATGTGGGGGCCAGGATTGGGATGAGGGAGGGCAGAGAGGTTTGGAACATTGGACTAGAAACCAATTGGATAATGAGAAAATAATAATCTGAGTATCATGTAAAAATGAAACACTGGGAAGCTCTTTGCAAAATATAATTAATCAGAAATTAAGTGAAAGTTGTTTTACAGACGAATGCGGGCAGCTAATCTGCACTAGCAACATCCCATAAATAGCCACCCTATCATTAACCGGACAACACAGTGCTCAGGCCTCCCAGCAGATCAAACCAGATCTTCTACCTCCTTAACTAATTCCACTGGTTTTAGCAGCCTCCAGGAGGCTGGATCTCTACTGTGTCCTATTGAGTTGACACCAATCCAGCACCGTGTTTTGTCCAGACCCCGGGGATACCGTCACAGGTGTGTCCTTTGTCAGTACCAGTAAACCCACTTTGACCATGACTAACAACAGACTTTAGTCAACTGTCGAATGATTTTAAAATCACTTTTGAAGAGGTACAAATCCTTAAGGGTGGTCATGTCCTACTGATCTCTACATTACCTCCGATCTCACCCCACTCACCATCCCGCTGAGTCCACTTTTGCAGCAGAACTCGATTGCATTAAATACCATCTTGAACACCTTACTGCCATCCACCCCTCTTGATTCTAACCCCTAGCTCGGGTGCAAACCCTAACTGTCCAAGGCCTTGGGACGTCCTTCCAATGTGAAACGCGTTATATAAATGTAATTTTGTTGTTGTGTCTCTGCCCAATTGTCACCATTCCCTTGTAATGACCTTAACAGGTCTCCACTTTGAGAATAAGTAGCTAGAAAGGTTACAGCTACAGTTTCTTTAATAATCTTTGCATTTGATATAGTGCCTTATCATGTCTTCAACATGTCACAAAGTGCTTCACGGAATATACTGTAAAGTGATTTATTTGTGGGCGAAACACGGCGCCTGTACCTCTGCGTGATAGCCTGGTGTCTGAATCAGTGTCCACAAACAGCTTCATCTGGAACATGTCCCGGATTTCTTGCATGTAAAATGCCAAGATGCCTTCAAACAACACCACGTCAGCTGGGTACACAGTCACGGTCTCAGACTTCCTACAGAAGGAAACAGTCAGTGCAAGGTGAAAATGGGAACTACTCTAGTTTCAATAGCGCAGGACGCGATAAAAGAGTGTCAAGAGTGAGAATTAATTCTTCCCCCTTCCCACAGAGCTTTCTCAGCAGGTTTTTGTGACACTCAAAAGCAATAATAGAAACACCATTTAATTTAACCTCAATAGCAGCAACGTCTCCGGGAATTTAAGATGGTTTCCAAACTAGCAGTGAATACACCACAGATGACTATGGTCAGGCGACTGTTAATGTTAGGGAACCAAAGTCACTTTAGTGCAGTCAGTGGTAACATGAAATAGTAATGTCACAGCTCTAGTCTCACTTTTCACTTGAATATACCCCAAAGCTACATGCATTTATTCAGCTTAATTTCATGACTATTTCTGTCAGTAAAAGGTGCCAGTGAAGCTGACACCATTTCCTTGTTATACTCTGTGTTTCGAAAATGGCACGGAACAAAGACAATAAATTTAAGTAACGCACCACACCTGAACTAATATAAATCCTAAGTCAGTTCAGGATGTTCTGAATGCTTGACTCCTTCAAGCTTTTATCACGTTTTTTAAAAAGTCCCTGAATGACAGCGTTTGAGTGAAAAGATCTGACCAAGAAACAATTCATTCTAAAATGCATCTCAGCTGAGGAGCTAATCTATGATCTCCTACAAAAGAGTTGGAGCAATTCACAAAAAACAAAATGCAGTTGGCGAGACGGAATGAAACAAAAACCTCCTAATGTTACCGGCCAGATGCGGAGTGTCTTTGTGTTTCAGATCAAAGCTGGAGGAACTCCCTAGATTAATTGCTGACCACACTTCTCTCATCCTTTCTAACCTACATAAGACCATGAGCATTTACACTGGACCTAAATTTCCTTAATTTATGGGACGAGATTGAATTCACTGTTTCCATATATGTGCAGAGTTTTAAAAGCAGGCAGAAGTATTAATGTAGTGCTGTATCTCCTTTATACTCAGTGGCTCAAGTTCATAGAATCATAGAATTATACAACACAGGAGGAGGCCATTTGGCTCATTGTGTCTGTGCCGGCTCTTTGAAAAGAGCTATCCAAATCAATCCCTCTCCCCACAGCCCTGCAAATTTGTCCTCCCCAACTAATTATCTATAATTATTAAGTCAATAAGTTGACTTGGGTACCGGCTTCACTGGTCTCGATTGACTTGTACTGGCTGAACCCTGAGTTGTTTGACTACCTCGAAGTCTGGGAAGCACCATGTAGACTACATAGCATTCAAGCTCACGCACTCCACTTGGTGCTCCCAAATATAGGAGAAAACAGACATCCAGGGTCTAACTGTGTCTTTGAGTCACTTGATTGGTCTGAACCATTCCACAATCAAAGTTATTACATTGGTGCACTGTAGTTCCTGGGGCATTATCAATTCCAGCCAAGCACACAAGGAATTGATGCACTGGGCCACTCTTACGCAAGCAGTGAGAAGTAAGCAATGCCCTGGCTGGCAGCTCTATACTTTCAATCTAATATTGTATGTGCAATTATAATGCTAACCTAGAACTCAGCTCTGCCCATTTCAATGAGCTTTTCTCCAAATATCTCTTGCAATTGTCTGACCTTGCAATAGTGTCCGTCATTCTTTGCTTTATTGGTTGGGTTGTCCTATTGTATAAAAGATTAACAATTCTAAAGTTAAGGCAAGTCTTATGATCACAAAACGTATTGTCCCTATTGACCCATTGATTCAATGTCTGAACCCCTCCATGCACGAGCGTGACTGACCGCTGTTATTACAGCTCTAGGATTGATAGTTCACATTCCACATGTGCATGACGTGTCTTTCCACCAAGAACAGAGGCAAAGCCAAACATAATCAACGTACAAAACAAACTTCCTCCATTACGAAACGCTCGCTTACCTAGAATGGGAAACAAAGTCGTAGACTGGGATCTCAACAATTTTGCCCTCAACAATATCCTGCAGGGTATGCAGTATTAATGCATTATCAAAGGCATCTGTTACACACACAAAAAAANGGATCAGATAGGTGAAACTATATAGAAAAACCTCGGCAATATAAAGACATGATTACCTGTTGTTGGACCTCTCCCCCACCCTCCCCCCCTCCCACACACACACACAATTACGTACCTGGGTGATCAAAGTTAAACTGGCCCTTGATGGCTTTTCCTTTTTGCTCGGCTGTGAGTACCCGATAAAAACTGTCCTGGCTCACAATGACCACTTGGCGCTGCTGACGGTCGATCTCGTTCTGACCAAGCAGCTGGACAATTTTTGTACAAACTGAGGACTACCTCAGAAAAGAGAAATACATTAATATTACTGAGGCTGCAGTTAGATACAAAAAGAATTACTGCACACGACAATAATTACTGTTAAGTGCTTTGAGACACTATGACATACAAGGCACTATACAATCACAAGGTTTTAACTTTCTTACTTTGCTTTAGCTTTAGGACCATGAAATATCTCAAAATTAGGTTGTTCAGATATTGAAGTTCAATGTTTCATTTCCCTGCTAAAATGTGCAAAGGCTAAAAGTGATCTCCTTCCTCTGTGAGCTGGTGCAGACTTAATGGACCGCATGGCCTCCTCTTGCGTTGTAGGTTTCTATGTTTCCATCCTGGCTTGTACTATGACATCGCTAGCTTTGGGGAGGTGACAACCAGGTTGCTTAAAAAGAATGCAGTGATTGAAGGAACATGCAATACAAAATGGCACAATACTTTCTGTTAGTGCACACCATGTGGACTGTGGCGCAATTATTACCAGAGGTCAACCATGAGGAATATAATTCACAGAGGAAAAACTATTAATTTTCTCCCATGAAGATGAACTTATCTTGTGATTGAAGGCACTATTAATTTTGGAGACCTCCAGTGATTAGTTGCACTGTTCTAACAGAACATTGATGTGCAAAATGCAGAACAGACTGTTTTACCAGAAAGCAGTGAAAATTATTCTGGGGTATCAGGATTATAGTGTCATAGCAAACATGTACCAAAATTAGACTGTGTATAATATCTTATGTAAAGCCAGAAGTATTGGATGGGGGTGGGGGGATGGGGTAAAGAGCTTAAGGAGAAGGAGGGCCTTCTGCTCACCATGTGCTGGACCAACCTAAAGTTACTACAGAAAGTATTTGACGTCTGAGCCTTGTTGTTAGCCTGGCTCATTTGACAGGACTCTTGTCTCAGTCAGAAGGTTGGGGGTTCAAGCCCCAAGTTAGATCTTTGAGCTCATAGTCTATGCCAGTGGTGGCCAATCTTTTTAGTCAAATAACAAAATTACTTTTCCTATAATAATAATCCTTTCATTTGATATAGCGCTTTTCACGTCTTCTATCAGGTTATGATGAACCTTATGAAACACTAGTGAGGCCTCAGCTAGAGACAGTGTTCAGTTCTGGGCACCACTTTAGGAAGGATGTCAAGGCATTGATTTTTTTTCTTTTGATTGAATGTGGAGTCCTGTAGCTCAGTGATTAGAGAACTCGCCTCGCAAGCAAGAAATCTGGGTTCGATTCTCGGCAGAGTGAAACCTTGGGCAAGTTTCCTTACTCCACACATCTGATAATCCCTCAAGAAAAATAATAATAATTTGGTCACTCAATCCACGACTGTTCGTGGGAGACTACTGCCGTGTTTCGCCCACAAATATACAGGCAATTCATTTTACAGTATATTCTGTGCAGCGCTTTGAGACGTCTGGAAGACATGAAGAGCGCTATATCAAATGCAAAGATTATTATTTTTATTATTATTGAAATATGTTTTTTACTTATGTCATGGTTTGGCCACCACTGGTCCAGGCTAACACTCCAGTGCAATGCTGGGTGTGCAGCATTGTTGTTTATCCTTCAGATGAGATTTTAGACCAAGACCCCGTTCAGGTGGATGTTCAAGTTCCCATGACACTATTCGAAAAGAGGCAGGCGGGTCTCCTGGTGCCCTGGTCAACAATCTCCATGTAAAACTGGTTATTCACTTTATGGCTGCTTGTGGGACATTGCTGTGTGAAAATCGGGTGCCATGTTTCACTACAAAATATAGTCACTACACTTTCCAGTAAATCCTGTGAGATGCTTTGAGATATTTCGACAATGTGATAAGGTCCTATATACAGTATAATGATTATTATTCTTTATGTTTAGACCACATGTTTCCAAAATGCTTGGTCTCAAATAAAAACCTCAAAGTAAAACCTGCTGTTGGTACCATAATTAACATAGCATAAAAACTGTGGTAGCTGTAGTTATGGCAATAACAGGATTATGTTCGTTCAGATTAGACATACCACAACAATCCTGGTATTCAGAATAGCAAAATTCCAAGTGCTCTGAGATGTTATCGAATGTGAACAACACTATATAGACGCAAGTTGTTGCTGTAGTTGTAAAAGAAACAGCTGAAGAAGCTTGAAGTTTGAAGCCTTTTTGCCTCTACAGAAGATGCAAATTAAAGCATAAAACAAATCGAAAAGAAGCTTTTTGGCAAGTTTCTGAAAATCTGAGGTGTTCTAGGAGTCAGATTTCAGTTCCATTTGCCATCTCTCCCTCAAACCCACCAATCCACCCAATTACATCAAAAACCAAGTCAGGCATGGGGGAAAAAAATGCCCACACACACAAGGTTGCTCTCGGCTCCAGGCACTTACTGGCAATGCCTCCTCTGGAATTCAAATAAGGCAAAAAAAGGTAAGATAATAAAAGAAAACTGCACCTCTGCACACACTGTACGCAGTGGTTGGTTTGTCAGAAGTCTCTTATACTGGCGTAAGCATTTCACGGACACTCAGATGGCGGCAGCTCATGTGGTTTGTGTGCTGCTTTTGCCTTGCGGCTGATAAAACTACTTCCATAGCATAAACAGGTCAGAAAGCAGCCCCATCGCCCACCCCGACCTTTATGAGAGCGATTTCTGAAGAACAGCTGAATACATTGCATGCACCCTTCACAGATCGCAGGATAAGCAAACAAGTCTGCTGGTAGATGAGAGATTTTAACCAGACAAGCCTGTTGTTTCCTGGTACACATGTAGGCACCCGTGTGTTACATCATTACTTCTAGACAATCAAATTTTCGATTACACAGCGTCTTGATGCAAGAGAACCCGGGACCGAAGCCCAACCTTTTCACACTTTTTGAATGAAGTAACTGCTGCTCTGGCTTAACTTACTATTTTGTTTCTTCCAATTTACAAAAACAGTGAGGATGGCACTATGTTTTTCACTATTATGATAATAATCCTTGCATTTGATATAACAATCACATTATCACATTGTCAGAAAGTGTCTCAAAGCGCTTCACGGGATTGTACTGCAAAGTATGGTGACTGCAGGTAAAAAAGGCAGCAAATTTGCACACAGCTGTGTTCCACAAACAGCCACGAAACAGTCATTGATCACACAAATAACCAATTTTATTTGGAGGAATGTTAGCCAGAACACATGAGAAACTCTCTTCTCTTTTCAAATATAGCGCCATTGGATCTTTAAAGTCTACCTGAACAGGCAGACAGGACCTTGGTTTAACAGTTCATCTGAAGGACAGCATCTCTGACAATGCAGCATTCCCCAAATACTGTGTTGGGAGTGACAGCCTGGACTATAATAATAATCCTTGCAATTGATAAAGCGCCTTATTAAGCCTTCGAGGCGTCTCAAAGCGCTTCACAGAATATAACGTTTTGAGAAAGGCTGGTCCCGCCGCACACAACGTGGGCCGGGCAGCAAAGCTGGCAAACCCAAAACTCTGCACAAGGCTGGGCCGGATTCGGGAGGGGGAAGGGCTTTGTTTGACGCATTAAGACGGGGGGCTGAGGTATTAACAAATCCCAAGTTTCCAGCCACTTCCAAACCTTTACGAACGTATTCGTATTTAAGTCGATGCCGCACATTAGGATGTCAAGAAGCAGAGCAACACCAGGCTGGAAAGGTGCACGGTTTGCCCGAGTACCTTCCGGATCAGAGGGAGCGAAAACCCTGCAGCCCATAGACCCCCTCCCCAGCCCAGCCCACCGCCCCACCCCCACCCCCCAACACATACACACAAATCCCACTCCAGGAGTCCAGCTTCCCTCAAGCCTCAGCACACAAAAAAAACAAGTGAAATCACACCGACACAACGTGCACACTGTTCCCAACACAGAACACAAAGGATGGAGGGAGGGATTCGAGTCTCCCCGACACCACACACACAGACACAGACACAACAGCGGGGTGGGGTGGGGATGGGGTGGTATGGGGTGGGGTGGGGATGGGGATGGGGTGGGGTGGGGGGCTCTCGGCTACATTGTATCCCCGTCCATTTCCAGCGTCTGAGCTCAATTGGGTGACATGTGTTGGGGTTTTTCTTTTGTTTTTCGCTGCAAACTCTCAGCCACGGCTGAGGGGGGGAGAGAGGGACAGACATCCCGACACACAGCACTGCCACTGTCCTCTCTCTCTCTCTCTGTGTGTCTGTGTCTGTCCCCCACCCCCTCTCCCTGTTATCCCGGGACGGGGGGACGGGGGGGGGGGTCTGTGCTGTGTCCATATGGTTCAACCCGAGCCTGGACCAGGGTGTGTTTTTTACACACACACACAGACAGACACAGACGCACATGGGGCTGTGGGTGGGGTTGGGGGTTGGGGGGGGGGGTTTGGGGGCAGAGGGAAGGGCGGGGGGAGAGTTCGAGATGAAGAGGGGGTTCGGGGAGAAGGCAGAACCGCGAGATCCGACAAAACCACAAGTCTCGAAAAGAGAAAAAAAAACACCCCCTTCGCGACGGTCCCCGACCGCGTCGAGAAATCTGCGACTCTCTGTCGTACTTTCCCGCTGGCGGTGCCCCCTCCGACCCCGATCAGGAAGGGTTTCCTGGGCTGGTGGTCCTGGACCGTCTGGTCATCTCCTCCTCCTCCGCCGCCTCCTCCTCCTCCTCCTGCCATGGTGTGGTGTCCTGGGGCTCCTTTACACCCCCCACCCCCACCCCACCCTCTCTCTCTCTATCTCTCTCTCTCTCACACACTCTCTCTATCTCTCTCTGTCTCTCTCTATCGGGGAGTTGCAGTGCAGTGCAGTGACCCCCCGGCAACTCCCCGAGTCAGTCAGACCGCAGCACAGAGCATCTATCCATCCAGCGCCACGCTACACACGTACACACCCCCCCCCCACCCACACACACCCACCCCCACACACACACACCCACCCCACACACACACACACACCCACCCACCCACACACACACACACACCCCCCCACCCACCCACACACACACCCCACCCACACACACACACACTCACACACCCCCCCCCACCCACACACCCACCCCACTCACACACACCCACCCCACCCACACACACACCCCCCCACACACACACACCACCCCCACACCTACACACCCCACCCACACACACCCACCCCCACCCCCCCCACCCACACACACACCCACCCCCCCCCACCCCACACACACACCCACCCCCCCCCACCCACACACACACACACCACCCCCCACACACACACACTCACCCCCACCCCCCCCACACACACACACCACCCCACCCCCCCCCACACACACACCACCCCACCCCCCCCCACACACACACCACCCCCACCCCCCCCCACACACCACCCCCACACACACACACACCACCCCCCCCACACACACACACACCACCCCCCCACACACACACACCACTCACACCCCCCACACACACCACCCCCACCCCCCCCACACACACACCACCCCCCCCCCCCACACACACACACCCCCCACCCCCCCCCACACACACCACCACCCCCCCCCACACCCCCCCACCACCCCCCCCACACCACCCCCCCCACACACACCACCCCCACACCCCCCACACACACCACCCCCCCCACACACCCCCCACCCCCCCCCCCCCCCCCCCACACACACACACACACTGGAGACAGGGGGCAGAGGAGTGTCAGAGCTGGGGGGGGGGGGGGGTTAACACCAATCCCTCACTTTACAGCAATACCCACTTGGTCATTTTTTTTTAAACTCACGTTTCATTCCCCCCCCACCAAAAAAAAAGAGCTGCTACCTTCCCTTCTTAATAAAAAAAGGAAGAAAAAAAAGGACATACTTTTTAGTTTTTTCCCCGAATGAGGTCTCTCCATTTCCTCCTCCCAATTTTTTTCGCCCCAAAAGAATAGGAATTCGCCTTCAACGTTAATTTTCGACACCGAATACGCAGCCTCAACACTTTGGGGTAATATCCCGCGGAGCGCTTTCAAACGTCCTCGCAACCTTGAAGTGCTTTGAGGCGTCTCAACGACGTGATGAGGCGCTGTATCAAATGCAAGGAATATTATTCTGGGTCAGCCTGAGAAACCACTGCAGTGACCGTCCGATCAGTTTATTGCACACTACACTGGGAAATGGAGGATCAGGTAACAGGAGGGTGAGAATGAGCAGCTATTCCTCCCAATTTGATGATTGAGCGTCTTACCTCTAGTTTGACTATTTCCTAGAATTAGGTAGCCAAGTCAGGAAATGGATTTCCTCGTGGGAAAAATACTCACAAATAATAATAATAATAATCCTTGCAGTTGACCTAGGCCTTACTGTAAAGTGAATTGACTGTATATTTTGGGGGCAAAACGTGGCAGCCAATTGTGCCCAGCAGTGTCCCACAAACAATCATGGATTGAGCGACCAAATTATTTAATTTAATTTTTTTTAAGGGATTATTATCCCCGGAAAAGCGATCCTCCAATCCACTAACAATTGGGTTCCTACTTACTGCTGGGTAAACAGAGGCATGTGGAGTAAGGAAACTTGGCCAACGTTTCATCCTGCCGGGAATTGAACCCAAGTCTCTCGCATGCGAAGACCACTCTAACCACTGTGATATAGGACTACACAAATGCATTACCAAAAACACCAGCCCCTCAAACTGCCAAAAGGCAGCACAAACTGGTTTTAATTAAAAAAGACCCTTGCACCACCTCAATTTGACAACTGTAACTAAGCACAGTTAAAACTGCACTTGACCTTTACTGAAGGCCGAGAGTTTCCATTGACTGTCACTGGCGTAAATAACTGAAAGTGAAAAATTGTTATTTCTTGTGCAGCTCATTCATGCTCCACTTGAGTGCATTTGACACTGTTAGTGGATGTAGCCAATTTTGACCTTTAGAGTCTTCCCTGACCTCCCCCCCATCCCCTCCTTTTCTGTGTCTTTCATCCTTTTGAAGCAACAATTAACTGGATTTTGGCAAACAACTTGCTCAAATACGAATACATACACACAACAACTGCGCCCCTCACATGTCTTAGCGCGTCCTAGAGCGCTTGACAGGGTGCAGCACGATGCCATGCCGGAGGGGAAGGTCTTCAGGCACGATCTAAGATGGAGAAGGAAGGGACAAAGTGATTTGAAATTGAGTGTGAGAATCTTGAAAGCAGTCCATTCAGCGACAGGGAGCCAGTGGAGTCTTGCTAGGACTGGTGTGATGGGGGTACAGAGTTTAGTGTAGATGAGTATGCGGGCGGCGGAGTTTGAGATCAGCTGGATTTTGTGGATGGTGGACCTGGGGAGATGAGTGAAGAGGGTATTTGAATAGTCGAGGCAGGAGGTGACAAATGCATGGATGTGAGATTCGGCCGTGTCTGAGGTAAGGTACTGTCGGAGACGGGCAATGTGACGAAGGTGGAGGAAGGTGGTCCTGGTCAGGGACCCGGTGTGGGGTTAGTGTGGGTCGAACCTGACACCTGGGTTGTGCACCTGTATACAGGTGAGTCTGAGGGATCGGCTGGGGAGCTTGAGGAGGTCAGAGCCGCAGGACAGAAGACGTTGACGGAAGCCAAGGAGTATGGTTGTAAGAACGGGGGTTCCCCCCTATCACCAGTTCTGTCATTTTCTCAAATGACAATAAAGTGGTGCTGCACACAATTCCCCCGGGTACCGCTATGCCCTTTCATCAGCTCACGCATTGGAGGTTTGTTGGACGTTGTTGGGCACGAATTGTGGAAGCCCTCATTGGCTACAAAATAAATACGCCATTGCTACACTTGACAGTAATTACCTGCGAAAGTGCTCACAAGACGTTTCACCATTATAGGCGCTGTATCAAATGTAAGGATGATGATGATGATGATGATGTGGTTCAAGATCCTCGTCGTCACTTTCAAGGCCATCCGTGGCCTCGCCCCCTCCTACCTCTCTGACCTACTGACTCTCTACCAACCCGCCCGCCTCCGTTCGGCGGGCTCCGCCCCTACCATCGGCGGCCGGGCTTTCAGGCCTCTCCGCGCCCCCACGCTCTGGAACGCCATCCCACGGCCCCTTGGCCTCGCTCCCTCTCTCGCCAACTTCAAGGCCGCTCTCAAGGCCCTCCTCTTCGACCGTGCCTTCGGTCGCCCTCCCTCACCCCTATACCACCGACCACCCCTCCCCCACGGCCGGACCCCGACACCTGACCCGTTCAGCGCTTTGGGACGTCCTCCCGACGTGAAAGGCGCCTCTGTGTAAGTGTCACGTTGTTGTTGTTGTTGTTTGGACAGTGAGCTGGGCTGCAGGTGACGTCTCTTGATGGACATCCCAACCGCCCAATCAGAGAACCCAACAGCCGCCGGCAATCCTCCAATCAGGAGACAAGGCGCCGCCCGCGCTCTCCCCGCCCCCACGACGTCATGGCCCCCCCTCCCCCCCCCACCCCCGACACATGTCTTGTGTATTTTTTGCTGTAAACCGCAGTATTTAGTGAGTTATTGTGTTAGTTGTTGAGTTGGTCTTAACAGTGATCCCGAGAACCACCAATAAACCGCAATAACAACGGTTTAACCCCCTCCCCCCCGAGCCCGGGGCTCGTACTCCCAGCAGGCACTGCGGCAGCTCAGTAACGGCCGCGGCTCGCGAGCCCAGAGTCCGCCGCACTCCCTCCCGACATCCGCACTCCCTCCCGATATCCGCACACACTCGCACTCCCCCCCCCCCCCCCGACGCAGCCGAAGCCCCAGGACGACAGACCCACAGCCGCCTCTCGCCTGCCGGCCATGAGTACCATGTTCGCCGACACTATCCTCATCGTCTTCATCTCAGTCTGCACCGCCCTGTTGGCCGAAGGTGAGCCCCGAGCCCGACAGGCCCTGACCCTCCCGGGTATACAGTGACAGTGTCAGTATACAGTGACCGTGTCAGTGTACAGTGACAATGTCAGTATACAGTGTACAGTGAGTGTCAGTGTACAGTGAGTGTCAGTATACAGTGTCAGTATACAGTGACAATGTCAGTATACAGTGACAATGTCAGTATACAGTGTCAGTATACAGTGACAAAGTCAGTATACAGTGTCAGTATACAGTGACAATGTCAGTATACAGTGTCAGTATACAGTGAGTGTCAGTATTCAATGACAATGTCAGTATACAGTGACAAAGTCAGTATACAGTGTCAGTATACAGTATACAGTGAGTGTCAGTATACAGTGAGTGTCAGTATACAGTGTCAGTATACAGTGACAGTGTCAGTATACAGTGAGTGTCAGTATACAGTGTCAGTATACAGTGACAGTGTCAGTATACAGTGTCAGTATACAGTGACAATGTCAGTATACAGTTACAGTATACAGTGAGTGTCAGTATTCAGTGACAATGTCAGTATACAGTGACAAAGTCAGTATACAGTATACAATGAGTGTCAGTATACAGTGACAATGTCAGTATACAGTGAGTGTGTCAGGATACAGTTTCAGTATATAGTGACCCTGTCAGTATACCATGTCAGTATACAATGACCTTGTCAGTATACAGTGACCCTGTCAGTATACAGTGTCAGTGTACAGTGACAGTGTCAGTATACAGTGACCGTGTCAGTGTACAGTGACAGTGTCAGTATACAGTGACCGTGTCAGTGTACAGTGATCAAAACAGCATACAATAAACATGTCAGTATACAGTGACTGTGTCAGTATACGGTATACAGTGATTGTGTCAGTATACGGTGTAAAGTGACTATCAGTATAAGGTATACAGTCACTGTGTCAGTATACAGTTTATAGTGACTGTATCAGTATACAGTGACCGGGTCAGTATACAGTCACTGTGTCCGTATACACAAATCTTTAAATAACATACACACTATCTGACAATCACTTTACAGTTCAGATGCCGTTTCTTTGTTTAATTTGGAGTCTTAAAATTATTCTGTATGTGGAAACGATTGACTCATTTGTTACATTTTGCGTTTTCAGGTATTACATGGGTCCTGGTGTACAGAACTGACAAATATAAACGATTAAAGGCAGAAGTAGAAAAACAGAGTAAGAAATGTAAGTATTAAATTGGGATACTTATTATAATACTGTACTTTTTTGCTAACAATCAAAATAAAATGACATAATCAACAGTAAACTTTTATTTTGCGAAAACAGATGCTGTGTTTCGTAAAGTGCTTTTCTGTTGTGCGATGCAGTATTTTTTCAGATTTAGGGAAACTGCTGTAGTTGGAGTCGGCAGTTGGAGTCGGCAGGTAAAAATAGGAAATTTTAATCTGAAAATCTATTCCTCAGATTCAGCATTTTGATGAAAATACTGAGTGCCTGTAGCTTTTTAACTTTAGCCCACATCTGCCCCCCGCTGTATTTGGGCCTCTATATACTGTGGTATTGCAGGACCCCCAGCTGAAATTGATAAGAGGGGTGAAGTAAGCACTAGAAGTAATGAAGGGTTACAAGGGTATGGGGAGGGTAAGGACTTTCCCAGTCCTGAAGTTGTGGTGAAAATGAGTGACAAGAACTTTTTTTTATTGAGTTTGATCTCAACAGTGAGCACCATAAAAAGCAGTTTCAAGTGTTAGGATGCATTTTCTGGTTTTATTTCTTAAGAAGGTACAACAGCTTTATCACTATATAGTACTTGATTTTATTTCTCAAAAGATTGGCTTTTTTTTAACCAGCCTTTTCATGTTCTCTTAGGTGAAGTAGGTGCTTATAAGAATTCTGTTTGTTTTCGTGTTTCTGCCAGCCATGTTCAATTATTATAGAAAACCAGTGCACTTTAATGTGCAGTTTTAGGCTTTTAAAAATTTGTGAGCACAAAAATCGAATACAACACAATGGAAAAATAAGTTAGGATTTACAATCTCACAGATGATCTGCATTTTTCATTATTTTATATTTTCATTTAAACTCTACACCTTGTATTGCCCTATCCAGAAAATGTAGTAATTTGGGAATTGATTTTCTGCACTGTTTTAAAAAAAAGCCAAGACATTTGGGAGAGATTTTTAACCTGTGTTGATGAAAAATCTGCCTTCCTAATGAGTATCTATGGTTGGATAACTTAGTTGCCGCTAGACTCATCCAAAAACAATTGTCGCTTCTTATAGTGTGTTTTTTTTACTAAATAGTAGAGAAGAAGAAGGAGGCCATCACAGAATCTGCTGGGAAACAACAAAAGAAGAAAATAGGTAAAGTGTGGTAGTTTATCTTGGTAAAATGATTTGTTTAGGAGCAATTTCCTGCAGGTCCATTTATAAATGTAAGAACTGATCTTTCATCAGTCGTACCTTTATTTATTAACTATATGGACCCGTTGCAGCTACGCTTGCAACCAAAGGATCCAATATGGAATGTAGATTGACACACAGACAGACATTTCATCATTGTCTATACTCATCTGGGAGGACTCCTCTTGGGAGGACTCAGTGGGAGGACTTGGTTGATAAAACAACAGTCTTTTGTTGATAAAATGGCTGCTGAATGTATATGCTCTTCTGATATGTTACCTTAAACTCTCTAAAACTCATGCTTCATCTTACCTAACTGTAGGGTGCTTTGAAATGGCATTGAATTTTTATTGAAGTTCTAGACAAAGTTCTTTCAGCTATCTCTGGCTGGAAGTGAGCATGACAATAGTAGCTGACTTGGCAGAGGATTAATAAGAGAAAAATTGATTCTGAATATTATTTTCAGAGAGACAAGAGGAAAAGCTGAAAAACAATAATCGTGATCTCTCCATGGTAAGTGGAACTTTTCCCACTTAGCCAATGTTGATATAATACAAAATTACATTTTCAAATAATATTGTGGTTTCTGTTATCCTTGATTTCCATTTTTTCATTGATTTTCATTTATTGATCTGTTAGAAATATCAAATTGAAAGCAGTATCATTGAGGGGATGTGTCTACACTTATATTGTGTCTCATATTTGAAAACAAAGTTGATTGTACTGAACGTGTGAAATCTGTGTATTTTAAAATGTTCCAGATCAATGTCATTCAGTTTCCTAATCATTTATAATAATATAATATTATAGTCCTTGCATTTGATATAGTGCCTTATCACTCTTCAAGATGTCTCAAAGTGTTTCACAGAATATACTGTAAAGTGAATTGACTATTTTTTATTTTCACATAGGTACGAATGAAGTCCATGTTTGCGATTGGATTTTGCTTCACTGCTTTGATGGGCATGTTTAATTCCATGTAAGTAGTGCAAAGCACAATATCCTGATTTTAGTTTTTAAAACATAGTTTTTGTTTATTTCTGAACATTCAAAATTTCAGAATTTGTTAAAATTTTAAAACAAATTCAAATAAACAGGTAAGTCAGAAGTTTGTGGTTGTTCAAAACTTACAAAAACTCACCCAATTTTCATAACAGATGCTCCATGAGAGTAAATTTGATGAAAATGGTTCAGATCTAATGTGTAGATTTTTAAGTCTGGAGGCGGTTATGTTACACATTTGCATGGTTCTTGTTTTACTAATCTTTACATTTGGTTGCCGACATGGCAACAGAGTAAAAGATAGACAAAGTTGAATAGCTGACAATATTGCAGTTTAATACAGAATGCTGTACATATACATTTATAATGTTAATATCTCAAAGTTCTTGAGTCTATACCATGATTGAAGGCTCTAATTCTTGTGCAAATAGTGGTATAACTTGATGTACTTCAGATGCTGTGTGTTCATTGCCCAAAAAAGCCCAAACAGTCATAGTTTACAAACATAGAGACTTTCAGCATCTTAAAGCTGGTATTTGAGCAGTTCAGGTCTCATTGATTAAGAATTGCACCTTTTTGTGCAGGGTAACTAAGACTTCTGCAGAAAATAAACTTTGTTAATCATTTCTACCAAAAATCTTCATTTGTTGGCAAAAATGTTAGCTGGTGGATTACAGTAAAGCACAAGACTGAGGGGTAATAGTTTTATTAGTTGCTATATTACTATGTCAGTGATGCAATTAAAATTAAAATCAAAATGGGCTTTCAGACTTTTAGGAAGTTATCTAGCAGGCTACATGGTGTTAGGAAGCAGGATTTCTGCTGTGAGACCTCAGTAAGCATTAATGTTTGTTCTCTTGCCTACTGATATCACTGACATACTTCAAGCACATTGATTATTTAGAAGTGTATGTCTGCTTTTCAGCCAAATCAAAGTTAACTATTCTCTTTCAGTTGCTGTGTTTTGATCAGGCATGGTTACATGGCTCTGTACTTTGTTCAAGTGAACATTCTTCCTGTGTACTTATGAAAATAAATTGTACTCTATAGCATTGAATTTTATTCTTTTCAGATTTGACGGTCGAGTGGTGGCAAGACTTCCATTTGTCCCACTGTCATACATCCAGGGATTATCCCACCGCAACCTTCTTGGAGAAGATTACACTGACTGTTCCTTCATCTTCCTGTACATTTTATGTACCATGTCTATTCGACAGGTAACCAACCATAAATTAAGTTCAAGATTAAAAGTGTCTCGACTGGCATCTACCTGTGTAGAACTGTCACTGGAATCAGACTAACAATAAAACTCAATCCCAAGATTACTGTCTAATTAACTACTTAAGAGTTAAAAAGAAAAATATTTCTCTATGCTCAAAATCCAAAGAAGGCCTATAAAGCAAGGCAATTCTGATGCATGTTGAAATAATGGCAATAACTAGTCATATAGTCCACCCAATCTAGATCGTTTAACTTCAGTGCATTCTGATTTTAGATTAGCAATGCCACTATTCTGATCAAATTCGATTGACATGAATTAAATTCTATCACTCTAGTGATGATATATACCTCCATCAACTAATACCAAGTAAAGGTATTTTTCTAAAAAATGTGATTGTGCTTAAATGGCATTTCTCTGATTAGTCGGTAAGAGTTCATTGTCTTAGAATGTATAATATTAGGAAGAATTTAGAAACAAATATTGCTTGATATATTCATGTCTCCTCATTGTCTTACCTTCATCTATTATATGCTGTAAAGATGCTCTCAGTAAAGCAGTTGGACTGGTTAATCCATCTCAATTTCACATGCCTATTTTTCAGTATGAGAACTAAAATGGTTCATAACAACATGATAAGAGTACAATAGATGATAATTATTTTTTCAATTTTATTCAGTTTTACTGAGTAGTATTAAGTGGAGTAGATTTGTGTCTGTGTGAGAAAAGTAGGGATAAGAAAGCCCATCATGTTGTTATGAACCATTTTAGTTCTCATACTGAAAAATAGGCACGTGAAATTGAGATGGATTTTAGTTCCCAAGTGCTTTGTTGAGAGCAACTTTACAGCATATAATAGATGAAGGTAAGACAATGAGGAGACATCAAGACATCAAGCAATATTTGTTTCTAACTTCTTCCTAATATTGTACGTTCTAATGGAGGGTTATCCCTCTCAATTTAACTCTCCGATCATGGCATCAAATTGTAATTCCATGACTTGTTTGAGTTTCATATTTACTCTGAATTCATTTTAAAAAAGTTGCAGTGTGCTTTGTGTTGGAAAGGAAGGAAGAATCATAAATCCTGCCTTAAATTTCCTAATTTCCTGTGCTTGGGGAAACTATTTTGTATAGATCAAAGTGTGTAATTCCTGAGTGTAAACATTTTTAAAATGTTATTGGCTTCAAATAAGCTTTTCCAGCTTCATTGTTTTAATTTTTTGCATCATTTATTTTGCACTTCATTAAATTCAGTTTATTGTTCTCAGGATCTATTCATTTTTTGATATTTAAAGGAGTAGGATGATATAATAAACCTTGCATTTGATATAGAGGCCCATCAAGTCGTTGAGACTCCTCAAAGTGCTTCACAGGATGTACTGTAAAATGAATTGACTGTATTCTGTTGGAGAAACACGGCAGCCAGTTTGCACACAGCAAAATCTCACAAAAAACCATGGAGTCAGTGACCAATTTTATTTAATTAGGTTTGTGAAGACAATTGCACTTAAACATTGCCATTCTTTCTCTTAGAATATTCAGAAGCTCCTCGGTCTGGCTCCGTCCCGTGCAGCTACCAAACAAGCTGGAGGCTTCCTGGGACCCCCACCTCAAGCCAGCAAGTTTTCTTAATGCAGCTGCAGATCAGTATTGAACAAGAAACCGCCTTGACCTACTAAATGTCCCATCGTGCTTTATGCAGCTAAAGTGGGACTTTTTGTAACCTAGCAATAAGTGAAATACCTCCTAGATTAAGATAGCAAAATAAGTAAAAAATACCCAGCTGCTCTCAGCTTTGAGCAGGTGAACCACATTAGACCAGGGCACTGATGTACAAATTAGTAAATTTACTTCTCAGTTTTATTTGAATCAGTAATTTTATTATGACAGGGACATTGAATTCTTAGAATCATGTGTTAAGTAATTCATTTCTACTGGATTTTCTAAAGAAAACACTTTAAACAAAAAATGGGATGGAGGAGAGAGGCCGTCTACCTCAGAATTGAGAGTTGAAGTTCTGTAATGCTTCGTTATTGTAAAATAAATTTTGCATTTTCAATCTGTCTAGTAATTGAGTTCCATAGAAATGTCATCTGTAATAATGAAGAAATCTAAATTTGACTACATGTTTCCAAAACTCTGTCAGTTATAATGTGGAGTTTGCTAGGCTGTTAAGGTACAAGTACATGTTCTGAATTAAAAGTTTTTGAAAATGGAAGAGAGTTGAGCAGTCATTTACCTCTTTTAGGTGGAGTAACTTGAAGAATCTGTTATCATCTTGCCATACCAGTTTGTAAACATCAGGACTGGAGAGTGGAACAATTTGGCACAAAATCTGCAACAAGGACCAAAAAAATTATTAGTCAAGAAGTTCAAGCCATCAATCTTGAGAATATTGCTGCTATATCTATCAGTTTGTTCTCAAAAATAAAAATTTGAAATGGTGAGGATGGATGATTACAACTAAAACTTATTGTCTGACATTCTGTAAACAAGACAGCAATGGAATGAGCATTGTATCACCCAAGATTAGCCTAGATACAGATCAATGTAGTTTGTGTCACTGCTTCCTGCAAACTTTGGGGATGAGGGTGATCGGTTTAAAATATAAACGTATCCTATCAAGTGACTTCAAAGAATAACCATTGTGTAAATTGAAAGTACTTTGTATCTTTTACTTTGAATGAGACAAAATGTAGGTAGTCTGAGAATTTGGTGCCATGCTTTTTTCCCCCCAAAAAAATCCTAATATGATTTAACATCAACAATTACTATTATTGTTCCTAGTTACCTGTTAGTCGCTCAGTATTTTCCATTTCAGTGAATGTAAATAGCCTTGTGATAGAAACTGTCTTGAAGCAGATTGTTGAAAAAATGAATGATGGTCACGAACCTAGGATGGTTCACTATTTTTCAGCTCCCACACCTTCCACTGCTTAGCGTTACTCAACACACTCGTATCCTAATGTTATGATATTTTAACATGTAAAGACTGATTGAAATGGACAAAACAAAATCAAATACCAGTTCATTGGAACTTAAGGGACTTTGATGATACCCATCAGCAGATGTTGCTTTCAATGGTAAAACATGATAAGACTTTCAGTATTATAATTTATTGTTCACAGTTACAGCCGTAACACAAATTGTCACTTTTTGTATAGCTCTTGGAGGTGTTTTCTTTGTGGTAATCAAACAGTTAGGGAATATCATGTAAATTTGTCTCTGCAGCTTCAGTTCTTTGACTGAGTGTGCCAAGTGAATGGTAGAACTGAATACCTGAATAAGGACGCAAAAGTTAGCAATTGAAATTGAACATGTTTTTTTAAAAAAATATATATACACATATAAATCTGCTTTAATGATCTGGGGGGAAATAGTTAAAAATCAAATCTTCACAACCCAATTTTCTGTGTTTCATCCCTTCCCATAGGAAGCAGTGTTTGGTTTTAACGTGAGGTTATAACTTCAAAATAGTTGACAGGGACATCCTCCCCCCTTGAAAGGCACTATCTAAAAGCAATTCATTGTTGTTGGTAACCCTTTTAGAGCCTTTGAGGAAATTCGGAGATGCAGTCTGGCACAGTTGATAACTTTACCAAGTGATGGCACAAGACTACAAGTGGAATAGGAAGTTGCCAAAATTCAAGGAGCCTACGATAGACTTGAATATGATTACAGGGAGATGATATATAAATGGGACTGATGTTATTGTGCTAAACTCTTTGAAAATCTCAATTACAAAATTAAAACAGAAAAAGACTACACGAGGGACAGAACTTTGAAAAAGCAGGCTTGTTTAGGTTATGGCAGATACCACCTGTTTGGAGATTTTTTCATAGGAATGCAGAGCCCCAGAAGGACTATCTGTCTGGTCACACATTTAAAACGCTGCAATGTTTTTGGGTTGTTTTGGAAAATAAGTATACAGTTCACAGCTGAATTTCTCCTTAGTTCAATACTCAATTAAAAAAAATTGTTGAGGCTGGAGAGGGGTCTGGCTATAACATTTTGATGTTATACCAAATACAAGTATTATCATAGAGTATTCATAATTTATGATCCCAGATACGAACCATGCAACGTTTGAAGAGCAAGAAACTATAAGTGAGAACCAAACCAAGCAATTTCGAAAAGGACCTGCAAAGACTCCCAGCTCTTGAATAAAGTCTGACCTGCTTAAATTGATAGGAATGAATGCTAAAACTTTCAGTATTTTGTAAGTGTTTGCTTAAAATAAATAAACCACTACCGTTTGCAGTATTTTCTATGAAGCATTTGAGGAGTCCTCCCGACCTGAAATGTTCTATTGTAATATTTATGCTGATAACGTTGCAAATTTTTTGCAGTGTATTATAAAGACTGTACATTTCTACTCCGCGTCTAGGTTGTATAAATTGGGAATATAGATCATCGCACTTTTGATTAGGCTTTAAAGCAGCAATGAGACATGTTGGTGAGTGATATATAACTAACTGCCCTTTATCACTAACATTTACCAATGATGTACATTTCCTCCTGCCTCCCACTCTCTTGTACATTTCATGTTTCCAAAGCAGAATACAATAGTCGATTTTGAGAATAATAATAATAATCCTTGCATTTGATACAGCGCTTTTTCACGTCTTTTCGACGTCTCAAAGTGCTTCACAGAATAGACTGTAAAGTGAATTGACCGTATATATTTTGTGGGCGAAACGCGGCAGCCAATTGCGCACAGCAATGTCCCACAAACAGTCGTAGATTGAAAATGACCAATTTATTATTGTTTTTTGGTTTTGGAGGGATTATTATTAGGCTCTGTGTGGAGTAAGGAAACTTGCCCAAGGTTTCGCCCTCTGCCTGGAATTAACCCAGGTGTCTCGCTCGCAAGGCGAGCGCTCTAACCACTGAGCTACATGACTCTCGGTGTTTAAAGACGACTACCACCAACAATAATAATCCTCGATATTCGATATAGCGCTTTTCACGTCTTCCAGACGTCTCACGGCGCTTCGCCGAGCAGACCGCAAAGTGAATATTGACCGGGTGGGTATATTTTCGTGCGGGGCGCGCGGGCAGCAGCGAATAAAAAAAAAACAACCGCTCGATGGGAGCGAAGGGTGACCCCAGTCGATTACGGGTTAATCATTTCGAAGGAATTATTATCCCGTTCCCAAGCCTTTTTGGAAATCCGTTTCTTTTTGTGGGGGGGGGGTAGGGGGGAGGAGGGAGAGAGAGAGAGAGAGAGGGAGGAGATTATAAATGCCTTTCCCCCCCCCTCAACCCCCCCAAAAAGTGGAAGAAATCCACTTTAAAAAGCAGGGGGTGGGGTGGTGGGGGGGTGAGTGAAATAAATATTGGGGGCAATAAATAGCTCCAGTGAGTGAGTGAGAGAGAGAGAGAGAGAGCAGGAAGAAGGAAGGAAGAAGGAGAAGCAACATTGTAGCCACAGAGGCTGCGACTCCCTGAGAGGGGCGTTGAGAGTTGGTTTGAGCCTCGGGGGGACCTCCCGGTGTTTAATTGCAACGCCTTCTGGTTCCGCACAGACCCCCCCACACCGACAGGTCTTTGCGGTCCCTCCTCTCTGGCCGCCCCCATGTTGTCCAGGGCAGTCGGGCCGGGGCTGGGGCTGGGCTCAGGCTCAGGTCGGCCATCCTGCAGACCCCGTGCCACCCGCGCGCCGCCTCCACCGGCACCGCGGAGTTCAAGGACCCCCTCAACTACCGGCACGGGGGCCGGGTCCGGCCCGCCTCCCCGGGGCACTCGGCGGCACGGAGCGAGCAGGTCTACGAGCCAGCTACAGGTGCAAAGCGGATGGGTGGGGGAGGCGGGGAGGGTGTGGGGGGGTTGGGGGAAGGGCGTGGGGGGAGCGGGGGGTGCGTGCGGGGCAACGCTGCGTAAGCCAGCGCATCGCGTGCTCACAGTAATAAGAGCGCGGATCCCGCTAACGCCGCGCCCGCAAAATAAATGCCACGGTCACGCCACCCTGCGGTTCCTGTTTTAGCGCCTTGGGACGCCTCGGTGAGGCGATAAGGCGCCATAGCGAATGCAAAGATTATTATTACGATTATTATGATAATTATTATTTTTATCATGTTTGCTCCCCCCCCCCCCCCCCCCCCCCCCATCCCCGCTGCAGGATCAGAAGTTCCCGCTTGGTTCCAGACAGTATTTTCTGCAGAGAATATTGCAGAGCAACGCAGAAATTCTTAAATTCGGTCTTAATTTCGAAGTTGCTTTCTCGTAGGGTGTTGCTCATTATTTCCCCTCCCTTCTGTTGACAGCCTGGCCCTGGCTATCAGCGGACTGCTTTTATTGACACTTTTCTCCCACCCTCTGGAAGGCTTTTGGATAGACTTGCACAGACCTACTATCGCCCTCTGGAACTCTTACAGAATGGGCACTCCTCAGAGTTGGGAGCGGCCTATTTGACTGTAGGGTGACGTCAAGATGGAGTCTGATTCCTGCCCTCGGCAGTCTCAAGTAGAGATCGTCGGATAGCAGTCCCCACTCTTGAGACTACCCACTGATACTTGCTGAAAGTTGTGGCTTGTGGACACTGGGTGGGTTTGGCTACAACAGCTCCTCCAACCCCCGATGGTCAAGAAACCAGCCAACACTTTCTGTAAAAACTTGTGTACATTGGACAAGTTAGGAACCAGTGTGGAAATAGGACAGTTATTGGCCAAATGCAAACCTCTAGAACAGCACTGACCAAAGAAAACATCGCCCACCAATCTACAGACTCTGAATAGGATCAGTTAGTGAGTGGAGTAATCTTATGGATTATGATTGGATTTGGGATTTGAGTCCACAAAAGTAGCAAAGTTGATGGGTCTTTGTTTTTGATGTGCCTCAGGACTTATTGTTTGCTTATTCTGCTTTCGTAGGTCGTGTGATATGCAACTTGATCTGTTCAGGACAACAGGAAGTAGAACTTGCGTTGCAGAGTGCAAAGCGAGCTTATGCAACCTGGAGCCGCCTGTCTGGATTGGAAAGAAGTCACATCTTGCTTGAAGCAGCAAGACTCATAAGGGTACAGTAAAACTGGCAGAAATCCTTCTCTTCATAAATCGTATGATCACCTAAGTCGTACATGCACCCAAGTCCCATTCAATTTCCGATCAAAACCGCTTCAATTTCTTTGCACCAGTTGTATCATCTCCTAACTGGAAACATAGTCTTGATCCGTCACCGCATGCACACTTACTGGCTGCAGTGATCAAATGTTGCATGTGTACTTACCAGCTGCATTGAATTAATAATAATAATCCTTGCATTTTAATATAGAGCCTTATCACGTCTTCTAGACGTCTCAAAGCGCTTCACAGAGTATACTGTAAAGTGAAGAGTGTATATTTGTGGGCGAAACACGGCAGCCAATTGCGCACAGCAGTGTCCCGCAAACAGTCACGGATTAAAGTGACCAATTTATCATTGTTTCTTTTACCTGAGGGATTATTATCAGGTGTGTGGAGTAAGGAAAACTTGCTCAAGGTTTCGCCCTGCCGGGAATCAAACTCAGGTTTCTTGCTTGCGAGGCGAGTGCTCTAACCACTGAGGTACAGGACTCCATGTGCAGAATCAAGCATGCAGGGTAGATTTTTCATTAAATCGGATTTTATCCGATTAAACTAATACAGTTTGTTGCAACTCGGACTTCCCGTAACTCATATGAAATGTTATGACCCGACTGATACGACTTACGTGAGTTTTGCTGTATTTGTAGCTGGTTATTTTGAGCAGGAGATTTGTTCTAAAGATTGCAAATGTATGACTTAGGAATGTTGTGCAGTTCATTCTTCACTTTTTATTTTTATTTGTTGCCTTGCAATAAAATGACTCCACAGAGATTACGCTGTACAGTATAAGCTAGTTTAACAATAGGACATTGTATAAGATGGGTAGAGTCACAGAAACTGTGTCAACTGATGAAATTGAGCTCGAACAGTTCAGGAGATTGAACCAGAATGGATCTTTGACCCAAATGTTTTTTCTTCAACTGTTATTTTGACTGTTTTTTAGATGATTTTAAGCAACGGATTTAAATCGGAGGACCTATTATAGCATTTAAAATCGATCTGGGTCTTCTTGCATACATAGAGGGAGTGTTCAAAGATGTTTGATCATTGTAAACCCAGAAGAAGGAAATGTGGTCTATGGAGAGCTCCTCCCCAGAGTGGGCTGGGGAGTACTGCTTCCTGCAGTAGTGGCCCGATAAATTGAGGTTAACCCACTCTGCCCCCACCCTCTGGAACTCCATCCTGTAGCCCCACCGTCTTGCCCACTCCCTTGCCACCTTCAAGACCCATCTCAAGACCCTCTTCTTCGACCGTACTTTCGATCTCCCTGCTTCCCAGCGCCTTAGGACGTCCTCCCGACGTGAAAGGCGCTCTATAAATGAAATCTTGTTGTTCCCCACCTGTCCTCCACCCTCCCCCGCCCCTACTGCCATGTTTGTCTAAAAATACAGTCACAACAGTTTATCGTGTTTATATATGTGAAACGCTTTGAGAAGTCCTCCCGACATGAAAGGGGCTGAATCAAATGCAAGGTGTTCTTTTTGTAATGTGAAACTCTAGTGGAGAACAAATTGCTGCTAGCATCAGGATTGTGCTGATGTTGCAATTTCAATGCATCACCACTGGTTTCTTCAGTGATTTTGAGGGATCTGTTGCCCCTAGTGTGCTGTGTAAGTAAAACAACACAATGAAAAAGTGTGAACATTTCCCCTTCAAGTCAAAATATATACGTTTTGCTCACTTCTACCTTTTCCTCTCCTGAAGCCTGAGAATCATTTTGATGTGCAGCTCTGTGGGAACTTCAGAAAAGTACAGTATCTGTTAAGTCGTTACTTATAACTTTTGTAGAATTAGTGCGTGCATGCATGCACACACAAACACATACACATGCTTTACAACAACAACTTGCATTCATATAGCACACTTCACCAGGGTAGCATCCCAGAGCACTCATAGTCCAAGCATTCAATTAATGTGTTCAGACGCCATTCATGTAGCTAATTACAAACTGGTGCATCAATGCGTCTGATCTGTAATCTACTCAGCTGCAAAATTGTTTATAGACAATTATTGTTACCTATTTTAAAAGAAAATCCACATTGTTCTTTGTTTTTCCCACCTTAAGGACAGGTTTATGCATGAATCTCTCAGTAAGAAGACTGCAGGAGAACGCCCGTGGTCGAGATACTTGGCTCTTCTCTTGTATCTTGTAACAGTGGTAAAGGTTTGGGGCAGGTTCCTTGACTAGCCTCTGAGCTAGGCTGTGGGACGTAGGAAAAGGGAAATATTAAATGGAGACGGAAAGGGAAAGGGGGGGGGGGGATGGGTGGAGAAACTGAAGCTTTTGAGACAAAGTAAGGAAATAAGAAAATGTTGCTTTGTCCCATTGTTAGTTGCACAAATAATTTATTAAAATGTTCTGTCTTTTCAATACAGGAACAGAGAGAAGATCTGGCGATTGTAGAGTCTGTCAATACTGGGAAACCAATCTATGAGTCCAGAATGGATGTGGACACTGGCTGGCAGGCCATACAATACTTTGCTGGTACTGCTGCAACACTGGGTGGTAAGAAACCCTGAAAAATGGAAGTACAAAGCCTCCTGGAAACATGAGCAGAGCAATGTTTTTTTAAAAAAATTCCCTGCTTAAATTTTCTCTCTTTTCCGTGAGGTGCTTACCGCTGGGGAGACGGTTCAGTGGGTGCTGGCTAGTCACCTGTGCCTCGCCCAAGTGGTCATACATCACGTGTGAGCTGGGGTCATGTGTGTGAGCCTGCCCTCGCACAAAAAGCAATGTTCAGTTTTGGGAGTGAGATGTGGGAGGAGAGAGGGAGAGATTGTCACAAGAGAGATTGTTGTTTTCTTCTCCTTAGTCCAAGCACACTAAGGCCAGCTATGCAACCTCCTGCTGCCAAACTTGCAAACGGAGGATAGAGAACATCAATTGAGTCAAGATGAAAGATGTTTGACTGAAGTCTCTTTACAGAAATTGGACCTTTATCAAGGCCAATTCTGCTTGACTTTGTTTAATCCTCTTTATCTATTGAGTTTTTCCTTCTTTCCCATAACAAAAACAGCTGAACAGTACTGCACTCTGCCACATCGTGGCATCAAACTCCAAGTAATGCAGACACTTAAATATTAAATCATAAAACATAAATGACGCTCCCGCACCTCCTTCATTTCTGCCAAAGCAAGCTGGCATTTTCTGTTTTACGTTTATTGCTGTCTTTCGTTTGTTAAAAAAAATACCAATGACTTTTTCTTCTCTTCTGTGGGTGGTGGTTGGTTCTGGGGCGCACTTTTCTCCATTTGCCAGGAGCCGTTTCTCTAGTGTTCAGCCTGACTCAGTGGATACCACTCTTGCTTCTGAGCCAGAAGGTTAGGGGTTCAAGACCCATATCTCACAGAGGTTCTTTGAGGTCATGGTCTAGACAATCCAGTGTAGTGCTGGGGAAGTGCCTCATTATCAGAGGTAATTATTATCATAATCAAGTGCCATCAGCATCCTTCGGATGAGACTTTAAACCAAGGTCCCTTTTGCCTGTTCAGGTGGATGTTAAAGATTCCATGGCACTATTTGAAAAGAGAAGGGAGTTTTTCCCGTTGTCCTGACCAACAATTCACCAAATAAAATTGGTCACTCACTCCATAGCTGTTTGTGGAACATTACGGTGCGCAACTATCTGCCGCGTTTCGCCCACAAACACACAATCAATCCACTTTACTGGATGCCCTGTGATGCGCTTTGAAATATCTGGACCGCGTAATAAGACTCTATAACGAATGCAAAGATTACTTTAAATATACCACTACTCAAAAAGAGAAGGGAGTTTCTCCTGGCCAACAATCCCCCTAGATAAAGTTGATCGTTCAGTTCATGGCTGTTTGTGGGACACTATATGCCCAAATTGGCTGATGTATTTGTCTACAAATCAGTCACTACACTTGACAGCAAATTCCTAGAAAGTGCTTTGAGACGGCACAACAGCAGGTACAGCTCTGCAAGGATTATTGTTATTATTTCTAATCCCTTTTATTTCCAACCTTCAGGACAACACATTCAGCTTGCGGGAGGATCATTCGCTTACACGAGGAGGGAGTCCCTTGGCGTGTGTGTGGGGATTGGCGCCTGGAACTATCCTTTCCAGATTGCCTGTTGGAAGTCAGCACCTGCGCTGGCCTGTGGTAAGGACACGTAATATCTCCTCTGGTTCTGTTCCTAATTTTATTTCCTCTTGTGAGGAAACCAATCCTGTTTCTTAAAACAATAAAAAAAATCAATATGGATTGTTTACCCCTAGCCCCCCTCCCCCTCCCTCCAGCCCAGGTCAATGTCAAGTGTTGTGTTTTGCAACTGATTCGTGAAGCTATCAAACATTAACATTTGTTTCTACTTTGGGGGGGAAGGACTTTCACCTCCCTCTTTCAGTTGCTCAGTGAAAACAATGTTCTTTTTATGTGGCTGCAGAAAGCCGTATCACAGTGGAAACTGTTCTACATTGCTGAAGCTTTGACGTGCAGGGAGAAGAGGAGAGACACAATTAGCTGAAGCTGCGACGTTCAAAGGCTGTGTTTCTCAACCGCACACCGTGTTTGTCATTCAATTCACCAGAAAAGAAAGAAAGAATTAACATTCATAATGTCTAAAAATCTCAAAGCGCTTCACAGTAAATGCTCTGTTTTTGTAAGTGGGCTCTTGAATCGACTGATCAATATTAAGGGGGTAAAGTTTCGCGGCATTTCTGAAAGGATTTGTCAATTAAGAAATCCACACGTTCGTGACGCTGCCCTGCTGGAGCGCCACTCTTAAATTGCTCAAACTATTTTCAGAGTGACGTACATGAAGTAGGTAGTAGAAAGAATCCACACTCGGATTTCCTAAATAAGAAATAATTTCTTAATTAATAAACGGACCCCTATATTTCCATGGCTCTCTTGCACAGGCAATTTCAAATTCCTATACTATGGAAGAGTCCTTTGGACACATTATTAAAATAATCTAACAGTGACTGTAAGGAGCGATGTAAAATATTATATCATTTGTATTAGCCTAACCATGATGGGTGCTCATCACTTTTATAGCCAGGCTTATCTGCAGTCTAAAAATTCACAGCTGACTAACATATAACCTTAGGAAAACACTTTAAAGTTCTAATTTTTAGCTTAATTTAAATTTTTTTATTGATACGGTACAGACAACACTTATACCACGTGCCCTTAGGGAATCAAACATTTCCTGTCATTGGCTTTGATTTTATCACTAGGAAACGATTTAGGGTTTTGTCATTTAGGTGTTCTTCACTGTGTAAAGTTAATTGCATGCTCTGCCTAACCGCTAACCACAGACAGGGTTATCACTGTTGCTGCTAAACATATCTGAAGAGAACTGAGTACTCAAGACGATGTAGAAAAGGGAATGTCCTTCACCGAGCTGGTGCAATACTTATTAATCTATGGATGTTACTCCAGTATATAACACATAAGTCTCCCCACCCCATCCTGCATCTTTTATTATCCTTTTATTCACCAAAGATAAAATATACAAAAGTACAGTAAGCGTAACTTTCTGTCCTAACAGGAAACGCCATGATTTTCAAGCCTTCTCCCATGACTCCTTTAACTACAGTGATGCTGGCTGAGATCTACACACAAGCTGGAGTACCTGATGGGCTGTTCAACGTGGTTCAAGGGGCAGTAGAAACAGGAGAGCTTTTATGTAAACACCCAGCTGTAGCAAAGGTTTCCTTTACTGGCAGTGTCCCTGTTGGAGTGAAGGTAAAGCCCCCTTCCGTCCACCCCTCTTGATTCCAACCCCCAGCTCAGGTACAAACCCTTAACTCTCCTTCCGACGTGAAAGGCGCCATATAAATGTAATTTATTGTTAAAGCGGTGAAGACAGAACCAAGCAGAATCTGGAATAGCTAGGTTACAAAACTACATACGTACTCCAGGCAAAGCAACTATTGTATTACTGCAATTCCTATTGAATTGGTTAATTGGTTTTCTAACCACTTGGGGCAACATGTTGATTCTTCAAATTGGAATCTAATTTGCTGTGTTTCTTAGCTATTAGTAATTTTGCCAGTCTCTGCTCAGGGGGAATTGTGTAAACCACAAACCCAGCAGCAATCTGAGGCAGCAAGGTCCCACAAACAGCCCTGAGGTGAAGGAGCAATTTATTTGGAGGACTAATGCCCAAAAGACTATTAAGTAGTCCTTAATGTCCACTTGAAGGGACAGGGCCTTGGTTTAACATCTCAGCTAGAAGATAATGTATTGACAATGTAGTGCTGCACTGGAATTACTCAAATTCCAATGTTGGGCTTGAATGCACAACTTTGAGCCAGAGGCAATGCTCCCTTCTGAGCCAAACTTACAATTAAGATAATTAAGAACCTTGAACCTTGAGCTACAATCGTGAAATTCTGGTAAATTCCTTTTTTTTACTCGTAAGGTGACAGTGTCTTATCCATGCAACCATATTTAACAACCATCTCTTTCGCTCCCTCTTTGCTCCAAACCTAGATCATGGAAGCATCAGCAAAGACGATGAAACACATCACAATGGAGCTTGGTGGGAAATCGCCGCTTATTATTTTCTCAGACTCTGATTTGGAAAATGCAGTGACAGGTGCCATGCTGGCAAACTTTTTAAGCCAGGGAGAGGTATGTAATCTGTAGTGAATCCAGTTTGACTAGTCCTGAGTCAGTTCAGATTTGCTCTGTGCCTCTTTTGGAGACCATTTTTGTCTCCCTGAATGCATTTGATTGCTTTCTCCTGGCACTGGGTGCAACTCAGATCAAATGCAAGGATTAGTATTATTATTTCATAGGTTGACAGGAATAACAACTTTATTAAGCACTTTTCACATAAAATAAAATCCATAAAACATTTGGCAAAAAGTAATGGTGGACCTGAGATGGGAAAATGAGAGATTTAAAAGTGTGGACAAAGACATAGTCAAAAAGGTGTGTCTTTTGGGAGGATTTTTTTCCATTAAAGTAGAGATGGATTTAACAAGGCAAGGCTTAACAAGATTTTGTAAGAGAATTCATGGGGCCTGAAGGCATGGCCATTGATTGTGGAGCAGAGTGGTCAGTGAGCCAGAAGAGTGAAGCATATTGGACCAGAATGTAGGACTGGAGAAGATCACATAAGTGGTGAGGTCAAGTATGTATAATCTTTTTTTTACAAATAATATTGCAAATATATTTTTAATATATATATTATTTATACAGATGTCAGGTTCTTTGTTAACTTGAGGAGAATGGAAGTGATAGTGGAGTAGAAATAATGTTTACCGGTGCAGTAATGATGTATCTTTTGTTTCAGGTTTGCAGCAATGGCACCAGGGTATTTGTACAGAAGAATGTGCTGCCAAAGTTTGTGGAAAAGGTTGTGGCGAGAGCCAAAGCAATGAAAATTGGGGATCCTCTGTTGGAAGATACCCGAATGGGAGGACTCATCAGTCGACCACACCTGGATCGTGTGCTGTCCTATGTGAAACAGGCCAAGGAAGAGGTATGAAGGTATTCCATCAGTTCTGGGTGAGGACAGTTGTTAATTTTTTGAGTTGAATATCAATGTACATTGAGTTGAAATGTTTGGAACAACCACAACAACAAAATTACATTTGTATAGCGCCTTTCATGTCGGGAGGACGCACCAAGGCGCTGGACAGCAGAGTTTCGGAAGTCCAAAAGGTACTAAAAATTTAGATTTTGATTCCAGTCCCTCATTTGTCAACTCTGAATAGATACTGATACCTCATCACCTCAAATATGTGTTCTACGTACATGTACAGAGAAATTATGGTTTTGTTCTTCCTTACGATTGACATTCAACTTCGAAGTTGTTTCTTAAGGGGATGAGTGGGAGGATGAGCTCATCAATTGGGTTGGTTTCCTCTATGGAAGGAGTAGGCTGGTATGTACATTATACATAAAGCAAGTGGAGGTGGGAGATTTGTGACAATGTGTGAATGTCACCTTCCAATCACTGGCAAAGGCAGTACCAAATGGCTCGGTTGGTAAAATCGCTGCCTGGTGTGAAATTGAGTGAAACAGCCCTATGAGGTCCCAGGATCCATGCGGATTGTTTGCTGAATAAGCTGATCTCAGCCGGGGTAGCAGTACTTGTGCTCACAAGTCGATTTTTGATTTATGTTGTTTTGGGCATTAGATCCTACTTTGTCTGACACTATCTTGATTCTCATTTTATAGGGAGCAAATGTCATGTGTGGTGGAGAGCCTTTTGTTCCTCAAGATTCAAAATTGAAAGGAGGATATTACATGTCTCCCTGTGTTCTAGGTACAGTATTACTCCTCACTTAGCCACCTATTTCAAGTAATTACTGCAAAAGAACGTAGAAACACTCCTAAATGTTTGAACCATTTTATTGGTGTGGATTGATCTTTGTAGTCACAGAAAACACCCGTGTTCCTTGAGTGGTTCTGGCTCTCAATTAAACCACTTACAAGGTTTGAAATAGAAGATAAATGAAAGTGATTCCACAAATTAATCTTAGTATTGGTCAAAAATGCAAACCTGTCTCTCTGTTTGGGACAGTGCTATAGAATCATAGAAATTTACAGCGTGTGTTCATTCAATTTCATTGCCTTGCTTTATCCCCATACCCCTACAAGCCTCTATCCCTCATATACCCATCTACCTCCTTCTTGAATCCCACAATAGACTGCCTCTTCCACTTTATTTGGCAGGGTATTCCATGCCCCAACAGCCCTGAGTTGGTCTACGTTCCCTTTATACAGCTTTGGGTGGCAAACCAAGTTTAGTTTACTTTGGCAATCCAAATAACCATAGAAAGAATAAAGCGTAATACATAATACCCTTTTATGCCATAACCAAACTATCTGAATAATTGTAGTGAATTGTAGTGAACTCAGAGGAGCATGATTTACACAAATTAAAGAGAGTATTCTTGCAGTGTTGAAATATGTCAATTGAGTAGCACAGTGCCAATGGAGATTTTCTGAAATACAGGCTAGGCTGAAAGGTGTGTCCTGCTGTAAATGTATGTTTAGATAAGATACTGGTTAGTACAGTCATTACATTTCTGGAATTTTGCCTCCGATACAAAGGTGAAGCTTAACCATTTTTTATTTGCTAAGCATCAGCATTTTTAAGTCATTAATTGCTTATTGTTTTCTTAGTGCTATTGCTCTTTTGCTGATAATTTCACTCAATACAAATCACCTTCCTTCAGATCACATGCTCTCAGCCAATGTACACATTCTTCATCGCATTATCAGGCCTTTGTATTGAGAGGTACAGGCTGTTACTTCTCCACACTGTGAGCGCAACCCTTTCCCACCCCATCCCCCCATCTGCTCCCATACACCTACTTACTCTTGCGTGCTCCCTGCTGTCTGGGATAACAGTGATAGGATAAACCTCCAGAGAAGGAGAAGCAGGTCTTATGTCCTTTCCTATTGACTGGAGAATGCTTCCTGCTGACAGAGAGGAAAAGCCTTCATTGAAAAATAATGAAATCTGTATTTTCTGTTGTGGTGAAAACGTTTATAATAATTAACAATCTGTGTGTACAGGAGACTGCAGAGATGACATGACCTGTGTTAAAGAGGAAATATTTGGACCAGTTATGTCAATCCTGCCGTTTGATACTGAGGAGGAGGTTCTAAAGAGAGCGAATGATACTGAGTTTGGTTTGGCAGCGGGGGTCTTCACGAGGTACATCACCTCATGTTTTTTCAGAGAATGAGACCGTGCTTTAACAACAACAACAAAATTACATTTGTATAGCGTCTTTCACGTCGGGAGGATGTCCCAAGGCGCTACTTATTTCTTTATTCTACAGTGAGTTAGTTGAGGGGCACTCTCCTACACATATTGCATGCATCATTTACTCTTAGCAGAATAACAAGCTTGTGTGGGTTTAACAGAGTTAAGAATTACATCACATTGCTCTCTGCTTGCGTGCTTTCCTGTTTAAAACCAATCTTTCACCCAGTAGCCTTAGTCTAATTTGTTTGGCTAAGCATTGTGTTTTCTCCATTAAGTCACTAAATTCTTCCAACGTGGAAGTATTTTATCTCTCTTGTTAAAGATCGAAACCCTTTGGAAACAGCGTTTCAGTTAAAAGCTCTGTAGTCAGGAGTGGGTTCAACAAAAAGTTGAGTAAGTTAGTTTCTGGGCTGTACAGGTGATCAATACTCTTTAAAAAGTGCCCAGAGGAGTTTTTTTTTGATGAATGACGGTAAATATTTTTTGCACTTCGAATTTAGACAAAGCTAGCAGATAGACATCAGAAAGCAGTGAGCTTGCTCAGCTTGCCTCCCTCTTTGACTCGGGCAATACTACAATGAACAAACATGCTGTTCGGCCCATCATATCTCCCCCACAGGAACCAGTTAGTCCAACCATATCCTTCCTGCTCGTTCTCCAAATCTTTTAATGTCTGACATCTGATTCTGTTTTATAATGATTGTTGGGGAGCAGTGAGATTTACAAATTAGTTGCATAATTTCCTGTTTTTCAGGGATCTTGCTCGAGCTCATCGCATAGCAGCTGCTTTGGAAGCAGGAATATGCTTCATAAACAACTACAATGTCAACCCTATTGAGATACCTTTCGGAGGTTACAAAATGTCAGGTGGGAATAACTTCTCCCACCTTTTCGGGATATTAACAGTGCTTTTTGTTTTAAAGAAAGAAGTCATTTTGAGATACCTTTTACCAATTTTAAAACCAATTTTTTTTCAGGGTTTGGAAGAGAAAATGGAACGGCGGCACTCGAATATTATTCGCAGTTAAAGAGCGTTTATGTGGAAATGGGAGATCTGGAAAAAATAATCTGAGGTCCGGCAAAATTTCCTCCTTTAACGTTTGTTCAGCGTGGAGATCAAGGTACTGTGGCGTGGGATGAATGAACATTTCTAGTCGATATCCTATTCTTGAAAATTATGAGACGTTAACCATGTATTACTGTGTTCTGAATCTTCTGATTTGGCAGTGCGCAGAAAGTTGTGGACTGTGTACATGGTATCCTGCAGTTAGTGCAGCTGAAGGCTCAAGTTATGTTGACTCTGTTTGATTGCATTTGGGCCCATCTATTAAATGATCGGTATTGTTATTTACTCTGCTGTCTATTTCCTTTTGAAACCATTGCATGTTGTGTAAGCTGATTTTCTTCTACTTGACTCGTCAGGAGTTTAGGTTGAAAAGAGTAAATGTACGTTACATTTTCACACATCACAGACTGTGACTCACAAGCAGAGGAGCTGAGAGTTCAGTATCCCCCTTGCTTAAACTTTGAACTTCAGTCAGGTAAGCAGAGCAGGAGATACAGGTGCTTGTGGTTCATGGTCATATGCTGCACACATTCACAAGACTTTAGACATTTTGATCAACTCAATTGACAGGTACTGAAGGAACAGTAAATGGAGGCTGGGAGGTACAACTCTGCTTCTAGCTTTTTTTCCCCAGTTCTGCTATTTAACTAGGGGTGAACAGCAACAGATGCACTGGCAAAGGCTCCTCTCACATGTGGGCCATAAAAGACATAATGGTTTGCTCCAGGAGTGCATCCAACAAATGATGCTCTTATTTGTGTACACTCTACAGCAAATGGCGTGCTTTCAGACATTTCAGCAAAGTGATAAGGAGCTGAACTATATACAAGGATTATTTTAATGTTTTGTTTGCTGGGCAATGGCATCTCAATCAAGAGGCAAAGGTAGATCTGACAGGAAATGGTCTGTGGAAGTTTGGTGCCTGAAAATTCAGACTATGTTTCCCCCTCTGGCTGGTAATTGAAAAGCTGCATTCAACAAATGCTTCCGTGACGCCAAGTTTGAATGATAAATACTTGTAGATAGTTGAATGAACAGACAGTGATACATAATTCCAGACACTTAGTTCCTGGGAAAGAATGGGTTAGAGAAGGTTATACAATCAACCTAGATTATAAAACTTGTATCCATGCCAAAACTAAAATCTAATTTCAATCTTCCATGAGACCTATTTCAAAATAGTGTTTTCGAATTGCTGAACTGGTTATCTGTATTACATCTTCTTATGATTTTAAACAAGGCACACTGGAGGTGACAGAAAATTCATCTGGTTTTATCATAGAATTAAGCTTATGTCGGCTGTGAGCATCAGTATCAGCTGTAAATGTTTATGAATAAAAAATTAAGGAATTTAGTGCCATCAATGACCTGTATTATAGGAATCTAAGAATAGTTGTCATTGTAGTTGGAAAAAACAATTCATTCTTAAAACTGAAGTACATTTTCAGGCAGTATGATATAACTTTGGAGTGGGCAGATTTCATCTCAAGCAATGATATGTGAACTGTGCTATCTAAATGCGAGTTGTTTATAATACACAGATGCAAGGTGTTGAAAGGGAGTACTTTTAATAACTTGACAATTACGATAGTTTAAAACTTAAAAACAATCAACCGTGTAAGGCAACTTTATTCTCATTTTACAAAACGTTTCCGGAGCAAATGTTTGCCACAATTGACGTAGTTGCTTAATGTTTGGCTGCTGAGGTTTGGCATGCATTCTTCGTTGGAAGTCCAGGGAGTCTGAACAAAGTCCAGTGCCACATTTTGTCCCTTAAGGCCTGTATTTATGCCAATCTGTGACAACGTTGCCATCCTAGGTGGCGAAAAGCAAATGACACAGCAGTTCCCATGAGTCCTAGAAGAGCCAGCGATCCAAATGCTCCACGGATTCGCTTTTTGGGCTCTATGGAGAGACAAAGCATGAATGAAACTATTTACACACACATTTACCTATACAGGTACTACAATTTGATCCAGTTACTTGATCCTAAGATCTTTACCAAATAAGTAGATGGACTGAGGAGTTGCAGATGGGCTTTAATAGTTATTTTATATATATATATTAATTCTATACTGGAAAAAGCAACCAGAAATGTGTATAAAGCTAGTCCATTAGTAGAAGTAGAGAATGGAAAGGCTTTGGGGTTATTAATGACTGGTTGAAAGCTTCTACTTGTAAGTAGAAGTTAAAAATCATAGTATAAATATACACATTTATTACCCATGTACCATTTTAACTGTAAATGTTGAGGGGCGCATTGGTTGTGGTTACCCAATTACACATTTAAAGCCCAATTTTCACTTGCTGTACAGGACGTTACACAATCAACTGAATGGATTCCATACAATAAGAACATTTGAAACCATCAATATTTAGATTAAGATCAAGATATGTGAAGGATGTGGAACAGACTTTTGTGTTAAACCAGTGGTCCGGCATGGAGGGCGCTATATAAATCCAAGTTGTTGTTGTTGTAGATAAACAAATGCTGTTGTGGCAAAATAGGTTTTTCATTTAGCCTATATGGTTTTAGAATATATGCCTATAAGTGGCAGAGATAAACATTACAGTAACCACTTTCTTTCCCCTCCTCCCAATTGCTCAGGAGCAAGACAGATCCAGATCAAAAAAAACCTCCAAGAAAAACTCTTGTACAGCAGTTATTACAGCATAGAGCTAAAATAGTCCTTAAAGAAACATACAAAAATGGTTTTAGAGAACAGATTTACTTTGAGTCACCCACCTCCAGTGTAATAGCCATATGCATAGACAATTCTTCCAACTATCCACGTTCCTCCAAGTGCACTTGCCAAGCGCTAAAAAATAAGCATAGAAAGCTAATTTTTAATACAGCTACTCAATGTGTATTAAAATATTGGAAAGTGTATTGCAACACAAATTAGCTAACAAGTCGGCTTTATAACTGGTTGCTTGAAAGCATGTACCAATCTTTAGAGTAATAGAATTATCTCTTCAGAATAACTCAAGATTGGTAAGGGCGTTCAACCTACAGGTTTGAGCTAGATTGCTCATCTACTTTGAGAAATTGGAACTTGTGGTCTTGGCTGACACTCAAGTCGTCGGAGATGAGGTCTTTCAGCTGAACTGTAAAACTGAGGTCCTATCTGGATGTTAATGATTCCACGGCACTGTTTAAAAAGTTATGTGGGGAGGCGGGTTCCTGATATCCTGGCCAACAATTCTCATTTCACATTCCAACTGCAGTGGGAGATTACTATGTGCAAACCACATTTGCTTACATGTACAATTACTACAGTTAACAGTGATTATTGTGAAGCACTTTGAAACTGTTGCGATAAAGCACTATATCAAATGCAAGGAATATTATTAACAAACTGCAAAATCGGACTCTAATGTTAAATGGCAGCTGAATTTTCTTGGAAATAACGGCATATGTTGGTGGATTGCTTTTAATGGAATTGCAGACAGCTTCTGAGACATGGATTTATAATTACTGGCCATTTCCACCAGTCGTTGAGCTGCACACCACCACATTCATTGAAATAGGTTCCAATGAAACTATTGTTTTACAATGAATTACTTACCGGGTACTGGATGCCACCAATTGCCAGGAAAAAGAGGAACGGTGAATAGCATTCCAGCCTAAACCCAGGTGGGAAGAGAGAAAAACAAACATAATGAAAACTAGTTGACTCTGTTTTGAGGACATTGAGCAGAACAGAACAATGAGGCAATATGATCAGTTTTTGTTGTCATCGACAAAAACCGTGAGAAGGTTTATTGTTTCCTTCTCTTCACAACCATGCAATGAATGTTTTGTGTGCGGGAGAGAGCTCAATTGCAGTGTTCTGCAATCAGTTGAAATTTATGGAGATTGAAACCAAGGAAGGGATTGGGTGAGTGGCGGAGAAGACTCTCAAGATAACAAAAGGTAACGATTGCAGCCTTATTAAGGTAAGCGGGCAACATTCCTACATTAAATGGATTCCATTCCAGACGTGGAATAGGACAGTCTTGGCCAATGAAACTCAGCTTGAGCAAAATTCCAAGATTGCTCAATGCCCAGTTCAGCCTAAGTGAGCAAGCAGGTAAGTTGAGGGAATCAGAGCCAGGGCAGGTAGGTGCTGGGGAGAGGCATACAACCTCCTATAGCATATTGGTTAGCACTCTTGTCTCGCATGGGTTCGATTCCTGGGCAGGATGAAACCTTAGACAAGTTTCCTTAGTTCACATGCCTCTGTTTACCTAGCAGTAAGTAGGAGCCCAGTTGTTAGTTGATTTGCAAATTGCTTTCCAGGGGTTATAATCCCTTCTGAAACAAATTTGGTTAATCAGTCCATCACTGTTTGTGGGACACTGCTGTGTACAATTGGCTGTTCTATTTCTCCCACAAAATAAACAGTCAATCCATTTTACAATATATTCTGTGAAGCGCTTTGAGATGCCTCAACGATGTGATAAGGTTCTATATCAAATGCAAAGATTATTATTACTACAAGACTATTTTATTGACACATCCTTATAAATGTTGTTGATCCATACACAACATTCTTAAGATGTTTTAACTGTTTTAACATTTGGAACATTTACAAATGGGCTGTGTGCCAAGTGCATGGTCACCAAATGTTATATTTTAAAAAAACTCCATCTAGCCCCTGCTTGAGAAGAGAATATTATCAGCCTAACAGTAGCCATATGTCAGTGAATTTATGCAGAAGATTAAAAAGTGTTTACTCATCTTTAAATAAGAGTAATCTCAATATTTCTTAAACACAAGGAACCAGTGCCCTGATTCATCTCACTGACTTCTGACCTTCAGCTGATATCAGCAAATACAGTAGTTTCTTTTTTAACTGTTCTTTTGTTTCATCAAAGTAACTGGCAATTTTTACAATGTCAAAACGATCACAGAGTCAATGATACAGCCACTAAGACTAGCGGCATCGGTCGAGGCAGAGAGCATAAATCTAAAGGAATTAAATAGATGTTTGAAATAAAACAGGTATTTAAAAGAAAGAAATGGGGAGCGAGCAAGAGAATGGGATTAGACTGGATGGTTTGTGTGCCGACTGAAGTTGGCCTGTTTCTGTGCTGTGAAATTTCTAAATTTCTACCATTGTATTTAACAAAACTTACGTATTTTGGTGAGCACGTTGGATGCAGTTGAATATGTGTCCTGTCTGAGGATCATCGCTGTACATCATTGGATACTTATTTTAGAAGACAAAAATACAAAATAAGATTCAGAAGCTAAAGATCATATACTGAGTTATTGCTAGTCGGGTCATATTCAACAAGGCTGAAGCACTTTGAAGCATCTCAAAGACATGCAAGGAATATTATTACTGACCAACATCTCAGCACTAGCCAATATCTTCAAAATGATAACGATTGGAGGGGGGTGGCAGGGAATTGGCAAAGGTGTATGTATAGTATAGAAGATCTCTTGGCCACTGTGCTATACAATTCAGTTGTATCTTTAGTGAACATGGCAGCGAGTCTCAAGGTACCTGCACGGCAACTGTCTTTGGGCAAACTTTTATTGCCCAATAAATAAAATTTATTTTATAAAGCAAGAGTAAACCTTTGAACTACAGTAGTCTCATATGCAAAGTAAACCTTTGAACTACAGTAGTCTCATATGCAAAGAAAAATCACAGGAATTTCCATGTGTAGGTGGCATCCAATTTACGTTTAGCTCTGTGTCGGAGTGTAGGTTTGGACTGTTAGAATTAGCAAAGCTACGACTCAATACAAAGGCCTTCATTATGATGATCACAAACTCACTTCTACTTTGTACTCCTTCCGTGCTTTGCTAACTCTGTAGGCAAGGTGGGAGACCATCATGAAACTTGCTGCGCCAGTCAGCACCACATACCCATATTCTTTGGAAAGCACCACCATGTTGGTGAACCTAAAAATATGGGGGAAAAAAAAATTCTTTAAAGAAATAATGGCAATGAGAGAGTTTGTTCAGCTTGCGACAGATGATCAAGTAGGAATTGGTCCACCACTCTGTTACTATCAGACAGGCTAAGGAAGAGATTGTGGCAATGCCCCAAGTCCACCCGTTAATATCCACGATTCCTTACAAATGTTAATATAAGAACAACAGCTATGTTCTCCATTGTTTCAGAGTTTAAGGTAAAAAAAGTATCTTAAGCATTAGTTAAGAGCATATTTGCTTAAAGTTGCAATGTTATATCACCATACTTGTCACATATATATATATACACACACTCACAAAGTAGATATTCAAATGTTAGTATAAGATTGGAGATAACATTCACGTGAATGCTACTCCTAAGTGACTTTTTACTGGGTGTAAGGTTCAACACCAATAATATAATTGTATGATAGCCATCCAATTGAGAAGATTCAAAGTTATTCATAAAATCAGACAACGGCTAAATAGAATTCCTGTCTTATAACTCTGTAACTCATTCTTGGTTTATACTAATCATGTACAAATACAGTACTATTCATTGCACAAGCATATTACAAAGCCCCTTCTATTCCTTACAGCTAAGGTGAAGCACGGTAGTAATGAGAGTATTTTACGATACCAGGTACTGGTTGTGATTGATTACTGCTGGTGTTTAGAAGTGTAATGTCACCAGAAGGGAGCATTTGGATGCTGAAGAGAAGATGAACAAGGACAGAGCGCTGAGGAACACCACACAACTTAAATTAAACGAGTGATTTGTTTAATTTAAAATTCAGTTCAGGACCAATAAAGATGAACTTTTAAAGTGCACAATGCTTGCTGCTACAAAGGTCAAAATATTCCAACCTGGGATATAATAAGCTTTCTAGCATGATCCCAGGTTGGGGAGGTGGGGGCAAGTAGAAGAGAAGAGAGGATTCCTGAGGTGCTCAGAGAGGATTCTATGCTAACCTTCCGGGGAAACTAATGTTAACCTTTGAAAATACAGTCTTTTGGGATTTTGAAACAGAAACTCAAAAATATTGATTAGTGAGGAAAGTGGCTTTACAGTGCTGGTGGGGGAGGAGATCATTATGGCTTCAGCAGGAAAATAACACAAAGCAGCGTTTACCATTATGGGTCACATTGAAGCAGTGATGCAAAGTCTAGCATTGCAGTGCAATCTTCTTTTGTGTGTGTGACACAAAACCCATCCCCATGCTTAAGAGCATCCAAACCCAGTGGAGAATTCCATGCATCCCACCTGCACATGGAAATTCCAGAGATAGATTGTTGGAATGGAATGCACATTCTCACCCTTGAGGGACCCATCCTGTTTTACCTAATTCCTGAAAATATTAGGCACAGGTTGGTGAAGGCTTGGGGACTCCAGATTGTGTGTTGGAGAACTGCAGAAAATCTCATTAGGAGCACCTACAATTACACACTAACTAAATGACTAAAGCAGCATTACTCATTTATTATGGTTAATCCTCTCCGTCTTTTCTGCTACAGTTCTTTGTTTGGATAAAATGCATGGGTGAGGCTTCCCTCCAGTATCACGCCCAAGCGGCCATTCTTAATTTTTAGCATTTCCGAGGCCCTTGCCTCTTGTTGTAAACGCCTTTGAAGCCAAAATCTATGAGATGGTCAGCGAACCTTAAAAATTCTCTCTTCTCCAGAGAATCACTAGGCTCACAAGTTGCATAAATAAACTGAAGTTACAGCTCTAAAAAGGAATTTAACCTTTGTAGCTACACTTACCATGTACTTTGAAAAGCAAATTTTTCCTTCTTTGGGGGAGGTCTCCTTGGAGCTGAACTGCCTCCAAGGTGATGTGCCTGACAACAGAATATAGGAATCGAGCCAGCCCTCTGTGGTGGTCTCGGTAGTCCAAACCCTGTGCCAGGTGGGTCTGTAGTACTCCATGGTACTGTTGAGAGCACAGCCAGCCTGGCACATCAATAGGTTAGAGGAGCAGATCAGTCACTGTGAACAGGGATTCTTTTCATTTGGCTCCTGTTAACCCAGCAAGCTAAAGCTCTAACGGGTAGGGTGGTCCTGGCTGGATAAGCAGCCTTCACCAGAGCATTTGTACCTCTGTATGGATAAAGTGTACGAATTCCCTATATTAAAGGAGTCTTTAAATGTTGTCTCCTTGGAAAAACTAAAACAAACCTCTTTGACAAGAGGGGCATTTGTTAAGAATTCAACATCAACGACAAATTACATTTGTACAGCGCGTTTCACGTCGGAAGGACATCCCAAGGCGCTGGACAGTCAGGGATTTGGACCCGAGCAGGGGGTTGGGATCAGGAGGGGTAGAGGGCAGGGAGGATAGGAGGGTGCTGAAGGTGTGGTCGACGAGGAGGGTCTCGAGACATGTCTTGAAGGTGGCAAGGGACGGAGCAAGGCGAAGGGACTGTGAGATGGCGTCCAAAGAGTGAGAGCAGAGAGGCTGAAGGGCCGATCACCAATGGTGGGGCTGGGCGGCGGACATAGGGCAGATTAGAGCTTGCTGAGCGGAGGAAGTGGACAGGATTATATAGCGATAGCAGGTCACAGAGGTAGGAAGGAGAAAGGCTGTAGAGGGCTTTGAAGGTGAGGATGAGTTGGGTGTCATCCACATACATGTGGAAATTGACTCCATGTCTGCGGATGATGTCACCAGGAGGGAGCATTTGGATGTTGAAGAGGAGACCACCAAGGACAGAGTGCTGAGGAACAGCACACAAGGCGTTAACTTAAATTGAACAAGTGATTTGTTTAATTTAAAATTCAGTTCAGGACCTATTCTGCAATCTACCAAAGCAAAGCTACTGTCAATATTACCAGCTTAAAAATAGACAGGCTACAGAATCCCTCGATCTGCAATGTTTCCAGCCAAATAACAACATTAAAATACGAACACGTTGACAGATTCAAACCCCTCCTAGCTTCCCCCAAAAATATTTTGACACATTCCAGGGACGAGTGGTGAGTTGCGTTCAATTGTTCCTCAAGCAGCATTAAATTAAAACCGGGCAGGATGAAAACTTAGGCAAGTTTCCTTACTCAAGTAGGAACCCAGCTGTTAGTCGATTGGTGGATCGCTTTCTGGAGGTAATATTCCCTTAAAAAAATTAATTTGGTCACTCAATTTATGACGATTTGTGCAGACACTGCTGTGCGCAATTAGCTGCTGCAGTTGGCTCACAAAATATATAGTCAATGCACTTTACAGTATATTGCGTGAAGTGCTCAACAAAGTGATAAGGTGCTATATCAAATGCAAGGATTATTATCTCTTTAAGCGTTTCAGATCACATAGGGCAGCCGGAATTGCAACCTAACAGCAAGCTGGCGTGTCCTACACCGTGACCTGACCCTCACCACAGCTATCGCTGCACAAAAAGGAACTGGTTAAGACGCCACCGTGATACAACAAGGGCAGACGTGCAGGGCTCACGATGCAGTTAAGATCATGGATCGATCACACAACCAGCAAACCTTACACTCAACACCGACAGACATCAGAAACATGTCACCTACCTATCTCCCGTGAGTCAGTTGCTCGCGAAGAGGCTTTTAAACCCCTTAAATGCTATTCTCTGTACAAAATCCACCGAACAGATTTTTACACACATTTCACCCGCAAAAACACACAGTCAATCCACTTTACAGTATATCCTGTGAAGCGCTTTGAGATGGGATAAGGCTCTGTGTCAAATTGCAAGAATTTATTTTCCTTCCTTCCTTTCACGAACCGACATTTTATTGCAAATAAAAAATGAAAATTCAGTGTTAGGACAACCGCGCCACCCCCCCACCCTTTTGCCTTTCTGAACAATTTAGGATGTGGGGTGGGGGGGGGGAGGGGGAAGGGGGGGGAGAGAAAGCAGTGATTTATTGAATTTCCACACTAATTTCTGGTAGGGTCCCTGTGCCCTTGTCAATGACAATGTCAAGGGCAATCAAACCAGTTTCGTTTCCACTCCCTGACCATCAGCATTGCTGTTTCTCTCTCTTTCTCTCCCTCCTTTCTCTCTCTCTCTTTCTCTCTCTCATCCCACACACTGCAGAAAGCAAATCTACCCGACTTGCAAGAATTGTGAATTTTTTTCCCATCAAAACAGAGGAATAAAAGGAAACCTACCGAGAGAGAGAGAGAGAGCCACGACTTCTAATTGCAAACCACCCCACAGCCAAACCACAGGCAAAGAGCACCTCCCAACAAACACCACAGACACACACACACACCGACCTGTGTCTCTGCTGCTGTGACTGAGTGATGGGAATAAAGGCGGAGTGAGGGATCTCTCCCCATAAAACAAGAGGAACTATATCTCAGGTTCAGGCAAACCAGGAAATGATCTGGACACCAATGGGTGTCAGGCAACACACCTCTCACCTACCCCCCAGCGATCCAATCCGGTGGTTAGTGAGTGCAGTCAGTCTTTGTAATGACACACAACAAAAACAAATGCACAGGGAGACTCACTTAGGAAGCGTGGATTCCAGATCTAGTAACATTTTTTCCCCCTCTCTCTCTCTCCGTCTCTCTCTCTCAGTTGATGTCAAATCCTTGTGTTGGCTATCGGAGTGAAGCCGGTGCAGTTTATTAGAGTGAAACTGACACCCTGGGAATCCACCTTTGGAGCACCTCTGAACGGCTCGGCTGGTGGGTGCACTGTCCGGTGTCGCCCTGAGCTCTTGAGTTCTGAACAAGATTGAGTTCCTCGCTTGTTGGTTGGTTCGCTAAGATTTGCATGCGCGGAGCTGACCCTGGGGCGAGATAGCGCAGGGCAATCTGCATTTGTCTGATACAATGTGCATAGATATTGCGCCTTTCACGTTGGGAGGATAGCTCAAAGCGTTTGTACAGCTTGTACCCGACATGAGTTAGCATCTTCAGCTTTGCTCGTCCCAATCTCTGTGACCTGCTTACACCATACTGATTGTCTGCTCACCCAGCTCAGTGGGCTCCAGTCTGCTCCGTGAGCCCAGCCTGGCCCCACCACCATCGGCGGTCGGGCCTTCAGCCTTTCTGCCACCACCCTTTGGAACTCCATCCCACAGTCCCTTAGGCTCACCCTCCCTTACTTCCTTCAAGGCCCATCTCAAGGCCTTCCTCTTCGACCACTCTTCTGGTCACCCATCTACCCCTACCCTCCCTGCCTTCCAACCCTATTGATCCCAACCCCCAACTCGGCTGCAAATGCTTGACTGTCCAGTGCCTTGGGATGTCCTCCCAATGTGAAAGGTGCTATACAAATATAATTTTTTGTTGTTCTGAGCTGTATTTTTTTTTCTCTCTGAGATTGCATGATTGGATGGAGCCTGGATTCACGGCAGTTTTCCTTGGTTCAGAGATTGCCTGCTGTGCCCTGTGCATGTGGAACTGACCCTGGAGCGAGATTACAGCAAGCAATTGGTATTTCAATGATGTATTATACACTGATATAGCACCTTTCACATCAGGAGGACGGCTCAAAGCATTTGTGCAACTTGTACCCAACACGAGTCAGCATCTTCAGGTGGACTGGAGGGGGTTGGGAGGAATGGAGTAGTGAAAAAATTACTGGGTTGGCCAATTACTTCCTTGGGTTGGCCCAAGGAAGAAAGGGAGTGTATTGTTTCAGGTTGATTGCTCAAATGCATCCTACCAACGTGAAAGGCGTTGTATCAAATGCAAGGATTATCATTAGCATTATATTCTATCCCAGTTTTGCAGGTGAAAGACTTAACCAGGTGATGGTGAAACAGGAGCTAAAAGGCATTAAAAAATACCACTCACCACTCATCTCATGACAGATATGGAGAGTTCTTTGCAGGTCTGGATTACCAATGGAGGGTAATTACCAACTATTCAGTATGTAATAAGACTTGTAAGTAATTAATCCTGTTTATTTAGCAAAGGTTGAAATCCAACAAAAATCTCAAGCCACAAATACCTCATTCATTCATTGTGAAATGTGGAACTCCATCCCACATTCCCTTCATCCCACTCCCTCCCTTGCCTCCTTCAAGGCATGTCTCAAGACCCTCCTCTTCGACTGCACCTTTGGCCACTCTCCTACCCTCCCTGCCCTCCGCCCTCCCTGATCTCAACCCCCCATCCCACTCAGGTCCAAATCCCTGACTGTCCAGTGCCTTGAGATGACCTCCCCACATGAAAGGCGCTATGTAAATGTAATACTGTATTGTAATTGTAGGTTTTGCATCAGGTAAAAATTCCTTCCTGTGTCACCGGTTTATTGATAGAAAATCCTTTCCTCAAATCTGACCTTTGTTCTCTCACACTCACTCTCCCTGACTCTCTTTCCCATTCCTCCCTCATATCTCTCTTCTGTTTGCTCTATTTTAGAGACATTAGCACTGGTGATTGAAACAAATCCATCATCCTGTAGTTTCCTAAAAAAAAGTAGGATCATAGAATCTTACAGCACAGAAGCGGGTCATTTAGCCCATCGTGACTGTGCCAGCTCTTTGACAGAACCAATCAATTCGTCCCATTCCCCACTCTTTACCCACAGCCTTGCAATTCTTTTCTTTTCAAGTGTATATCCAATTCCCTTTTGAAAGTTATTATTGAATCTGTCCCCACCACCCTTTCAGGCAATGCTTTGCCATTCGTCATAGATTAGACAAATATTTGAAACAGAAAAATGTAAAAGGTGTAGGAAGGGGCAGGGAAGTAGCAAGCGGGATTAGGATTATAGCTTTTTCAGAGAGCCAGAATGTACTCGTGTGCTGAAAAATTCTATGATCCATTTATGGCCATTACTCTTCTCAACTTTTCTTCCTTTTGTTCCAGCTCTCCATTTCTGCACACTGTTTCTTCCTCGTTGTTCATTTTGTTTGTCATTTTGTAATGAAATCATATTTTCTATTTGTCCCCATGGTTTTTATTTCCTGCCCTCATTATTTTAGCAGCATGAATCATATTGGCTTTTAATCGCTTTTTTTCTAATATCAATCCCACACAGTACGTGCATAGGTAAGGTACACTTTAATCACTTGCATTTCTACTCCCACGTTCAAGTTAAAAACACTGTTTGGGTATCTATAGTTACCGTTTAAGATATTGACGTGTATCAACTTGCTCTTATCTGTATCTGCGTGAATGCAATCTGTCAGTCATTAACTTGGGCGTCAAACCTGTTTGAATTATTTTGAATGACATCTGCCTCTGCCATACAATGTTCAACTTTGCACCTGATTGTATCATTTAAATCTCTGCTGGCACTCTCAAGTTCATTCCTCAATATTGTTACTGATAAAAGACTAAAGTTCAACTCCTCCTCCTCTTCCTCCTCCTCCTCCTCCTCCTCCTCCTCCTCCTCCTCATTGAACCATGGAATTATACAGCACAGAACTCCTTCTGTGCTGTATAATTCAGCCCATTGTGTCTGTGCCGGCTCTTTGAAAAGAGCTATCCAAATCAATCTCACTCCCCCGCGCTCTCCCCATAGCCCTGCAAACTTGTCCTCCAATTGCAAGCAACATAATTTCCAGCTACTTATCTACTGAACTGCTTCTTTCTTGATTCTACCAGGTTCATCTCCCTTAACTCCTCCATTCCTCTCTCTGACACCCAACTCATGTCCGTCTCCTATCGGCCCTGGAAAAAAATCTCCCCTCACTCCCTCTACGTTGCCTTTGAGTCTCTGAACTCCTCCCCCTCTGGGCCTACACCCGCAATGACCTACCCTCCTCGGTCACTCTCCTCCTCAACTCCCTCTCCACCATTCTTGCTTCCCTTGCTCCCCTCTCCTTTAGCCTCTGCTAAATCATCTTTCACGATAATGTTGGAGGCCAAGGATAAGCAAAGTTCCTCTCCTGCACTACCAAACCCCTTCTCCGCCCAACATTCACGCCTCAGCTATCCTCTCCTCCAACTCAAACTGTGAGGAGATGCTGGACTTCCTCGAGACCAATGTTGAGGGGATCTGTTCAGCTGCCTCTGCCTTTCCAACTGCTACCCCCACCTCATCTCTCCCTCACACCCTAGCTTCTACCCAGCCCTCCCTCCACACCTTCGAACGTGTCTTCCCCTCCTCTCTAACCACCAATTATAACCAACATGAAACCCACCATTTGCTCCCTCGATCCCATTCCTACCCCTCTCCTTCCCTCTCAGTGCTACTTCCTTGCCCCCTACTCATAGACATCATCAACGTCTCCCTGTCCACTGGCACCATTCCCACCCCTTTGAAACTGTCATCAACCCTATCCTCAAAAAACCTTCCCTGGACCCATCCCTGTTCTCAAATTACCGCCTCATCTCCAACCTCCCCTTCCTTTCCAAGGTCCTGGAACGAGTCGTTGTTTCCCAGCTTCACTCCTTCCTCTCCCACCACTCCTTCTACGAACCCTTCCAATCGGGTTTCCATGCTGCCCACATCACAGAAACAGCTTTGGTCAAAGTATCAAGTGACATTTAGTCTATCTGTGACCGGGGCTCCCTTTGTCTCCTCATCCTCCTTGACCTCTGTGCTGCCTTTGATATCGTTGACCACTTTATCCTCTGCCACCACCTCTCCTCTCATCTCAATCCTCATGGTTCTGCCCTTGACTGGTTCAGATCCTACCTTTAACACTGTCTCCACTTTGTCTCCACACACTGCTTCTCCTCCATCGTTTTGATCAGGAGTTGTGTACGTGGTGTTGCAGGGCTTATAGACCCTTAACCCTCGCTCCCGGGCTACTGCCTTCCTCTGCCCCACCCCCCCACAAAGTAACCTGCAAAAAGGAAGGCCACAAAACAGATGAAAAATCCAGCACTTAGCAACACTTGATGCAGTTGCTGAAGCAAACATTAGTCACCATCAAGGAAAATATTAACAGCTGGGGAGTCGCTGCAAACGTAGGTGAAATTTTTCTGTGAAATGGTCTTCCATCAATTTTTTGTTAGTTGAATTGATACATGGAGTCGCCGTATTGGGTATGGCTTACAGTTTCTGGCAGTTTTGTTGGGGTGATATCTTTCTGATTCTTAGGGATTGGGTGGTGGTTATACGCCTTGGTTATGCATTCTGAAAGGATACACTTCTGATTGATGCTGGTATTTGCTGAATGTGCATCAATTTCAGTAATAAATTCAGTATTAATCTACATTTTTGACAAATACTAAATTCAGCTGGATGTATTCTAGTCCTGGTTTCAGGTTGATAGTCTTGGCCTCCCTCTATTGGATTGTACTAAGCTGCTTATCCATCAACAATACACATCTATTATTTATAACGTATAGGTAGTTTTCATCTCGATAATGTCAAACATTCTATCAGTGGCTACTGAATCTTTGGATACTGCCTGTTCAGGTAGTGGTACAAATCCCTTCACAATATTGAAAGGAGAAGGAATTTTTTCATGATATCCTGGTCAACAATCCTCCAGATCAATTAGTTATTCACCTCACAGCTATTTATAGGAGCTTGTGTGCAAACTGTTTGTCTACAAAATCGGTTACTTGACTAGCAATTACATACAGCGTGCTTTGAGATGTCTTTGATGTATATAAGTGCTACATCAAGGCCAAGAAATATTACTTATTCAAGCAATTTTAATCTGTTGATCTAGATTTAAATGTTGGGTACAGAGTCTGACTTTCTGCATGTTGTTATTATTATTATAATTATTATAATCAATTGGAGGATTAGGTTTGACAGGCTAAATAGCTTCTCCTCTTGTTCAGGTAAGTGAGGCTGATTGTTGTGCTCCGCTTTACCTGTCTTCATTAATGATGTTGTCATGTTAAAGCTGAATGGTATTAACTGGGTGAATTAGTTAAAATACCGTTGTGGTTTTTTTTTGCTGGGCCAAAATGCAGCTTTAAAGCCATCTCTCCACCACCAGGTGGCAACATTCTCCAAAGAAAATATGTTTTCCCTGGTTTTATAGCAGGTCCTTGATTTCACACCTGTTTACTGTTCACTTTCGGGATTTAGTTTTGCCCACAAAATATACAGTCAATTCACTTTATAGTGTATTCTGTGCTGCGCTTTGAGACGTCTCGAAGATGTGGTAAGGCGCTATATTAAATGCAAGGATTATTATTATGAGTGGTGATAGCTTACTTTCCAATGGACACCCACTTACGCAGTAATAATTACTTGTCCAGGCTAGAACTATTTGTCTCATAATTTCCCACATTTTTTCTCCCCTCCCAATCTTCACCAGGCCATAAAACACTGAGTAGTGCCTGACTGCAGTTTTGTGTGCACTACCAAAATAACCATTCTCTGTGTGTTCAGCCAGACAGTGAGGTATTCGCAGACAACCCTGACTAAGGAGATGCCATATCTGAGCCTATTCAGTCCTCGCCTGATATCCACATACGAACCAAAAGTTTGTGGGTTTAAATCTCGCCCGACATTCAGCTCAGAATCCAGGCAGGCTCTTGTGCAAGACTGAGAAAGCATTGTATTGACGGAGGTGCTGCTCTTCAAATGAAGTACTAAACCAAGGTCCTCATAGCCAGTGGTCATTAAAGCAATCCACAGCACTAATTCGGAAGTTCTAATATTCTTCCTTCATCCAAATTCACTGAATGTAAATGCGTAAATTGTTTTTTGCTGTTTGCGGGATGTTGCTGGTGTACGTTAACACCTCCATTTCCCATTATAACAAAACTCACTCTTCAGAATAATTCATTGCATGAAGCACTTTGAGATATTTTGACATAAGGTGCTACATAGTAAATGCAAGTGATATTGTTTTTAATAAACGTGAATTGACTAAATAATTTAACATTAGTTCCCTGGAGGCTTAAAAGATTTCTGATTAATTCTAGTTGTTCTTTCTCAATGCTGCTTGTTGAGCAAAAGTTTCTGACTCCTACCATTTGGAGGAAAATCATCCATGACTGACTGATCTTCTTAACATTTCTTGCATTTGATAGAACGCCATTCACGTCGGGATTTGTCTCAAAGCTCTTCACGGGATTTGCTGCAAAGTGTAGTCACTGTATATTTTATAGGCAAAAGTGCACATGTTGATCCTAGTTTAGTTAGAACAAATAAGATTCAGATGTAATTATTTCCCACTTACCAGAATGTGTTGAAACTGAATCTAAGTCATGAATCTAAGATTTCCATTTTGATAATGAATTAAAAACTTGTTTTGGGTGGATGCAGGTTTACAAAGAGTTTAAATTGAAGCCTGGATTTGCTTCTGAGCTATCAAGAATCAAATAATCCATATGCTGTCATTCTACTATCATCAATGCCTCAACATTGTGTTCTCTGAAAAGGTGATTCCATGCTTCCAACCCAACCCTACTTGTGCCAATCTCATAGAGTTAAATTATTATGTTTAAAGTGAAAAAGTCAAATAAGAGTGGGTGAGGGTTCAGACAGAACTAATGAAAAGGGTTAATCTTGTGTGTAATCTCGCAGTGCGAATGGAAAAACCGTACAGAATTCTTGAAGAACCTACAACTATCTGATTGCAATCTAGTGAATTTGCTGGAAATGTTTATGTGCGGATTATGGGAAGAATAATTTAGAATAAACAGAATTGCAAGTTAGGAAATTCTAGAAATCCAGGGTTGGGAGTTGTTTGGGAGTTGGTTGGGGAGGCACCTGTGGATGAAAAGGCCACTATTACTCACTATCCAGGCTCGCCCATAAAATGTGGCTACTGATGTCAACAGGAAAGTCACTGCTACCCATTGAATCTCTGTCTTAACTTGAGGCTGACCTTGAGGCATGACCTTCAATAAATGTGAAGAGAGTTTAAATCTTTAATGCTTTGATTTATTATTGTAGGTACCGTGACGATTCTTTTCGCCCACAAAATACACAGTCCATTCACTTTACAGTATATTCTGTGAAGTGCTTTGAGACGTCTCGAAGATACAGGATATTATTATTACTGTGGTGGAAAACGCTCCTTTCAATGTGATAATTATCATTGATCACAGCTGGTGATGCTATCACTAGTGATGGTCTTCAAGGCCTTCAAGGCCGGTCTCAAGACCTTTCTCTTTGACCGAGCCTTCAGCTCCCCTCTCGACTCTCTACCTCCTCCTCGCTCCCTCCCTTCCCTCCCCTCACCCTGACCATTTCCCCCCTGCTCGGGTCCTGATCCAACTGTCCAGTGCCTTGGGATGTCCTCCCGACGTGAAAGGCGCTCTATAAATGAAATCTTGTTGTTGTTGATGGTTATCACAATACCCGCACCACAGTCGATGCCAAGGCATTCCAACCTTTCTTTGTAAATGTGAAGTGATAAAACAGGTTGCATTCAATACAGTGGCAAGTCAATTAGTTGCAATAAGTTTACAAGCATTTGGTTCAGTAAAGCAAATCCATTCGAGTGACAACAGACTGGCCTTGAAATCACTCTTTGAAGGATATGCTTATGTTTCAGTTAACATTCAGTTAATGTTTCAGTTTCTGTTGCACTTTTGTTAATATTAAACACTGTGTTACATGTTTTTGCATATCGCATAGGGGAATCTTAGGAGGGACTGAAAGAGAGATTTGCTTAAGGAGACAGATAAGGGAGAACTAAGGCAGAGACAAAGAGGAGATGAGAATGACAATCACTCCTGGTTACTGATGTATCTCTATTCCTTGTATTCCAGAATTCAATGTTCTTACGCAAGTGTGATAGATGTCCTTCACATCGCAAGGACTCAAACATGTCAAGGAGGAAACTATCTGGCTGGGAATGTATCGCAAAAGCTTGAGGCAAAATGTGGTTGCAGACAGCCAGACTGATCATTATACGGTTCTAATTAACATTCCAATATTAATTGGAATGAAAAATGTGGAGCAAAGAGTGAGGGTTAAGCATTGCTGAAAAAAAATTGTGATTTGAAATAACCACTAGTAGAGAGTAATGATTAAACTGTAGCATAGCTATTGGCACATAGAGGGATTTGTTTGTTATTTGGCACTTATTCATTTTTATATTCACTTGCATGTGAATAGCTCTCTTGAGATTGAAGTTGTATAAGTGTGTGTCTATACATGTATTTACAGTATTATATTTAATGTTTGGAGATAGAAAATAAATAACACAAATTATTGATATGCTTTATTTTCTTGTTTGTGATAAAGAGAAGCTACATATAATGTGATCTGGAAGCAGCAAATGGCATCTTTAGAAAGTAGAATCTTTATACTATTCCTGTTTGTAGTTAAAATACAGAAAACAGATTATTTCAACTCATTCAATAATTTTACAGTTCACTGGAGGTGACCTGTTTGAGATTAAGGATTAAAACGTTGCTCACTGGAGAGGAGGCATTTATTTTGTATGCACCTCACACACATATATATATATACAATATCTATTTCTGGTTTCCAAACAATTTATATATATATATTGTCAATATTAAACACTGGGTTACATGTTACCAGAAATGTTGTTGTAAAAGCCTGGAGAAATAGTTCTACTTTTAACAAACAATATGTGCTTGGTTTTAAAGCAGAATTTGCACAATAAAAATAAGCAGCTGCTATTAAAAAGGTATAAAATATGATTACAGTATATTTATAGACAGACAAGATATTATTATTATTATTATTATTAAATGTCCACTCCCATCCTGAGGCTATCATGGCTGTTCTGCTACACTTCAATTGCTCTTACAATCTGCCTTACCCACTCGATATTCTGCACTTAATTCTGAATACTGTACATTTACACTGGACAGAGTAGAAGCTTGTTTAATGCTGGGAGCATTGTAAAACAATACATCTGGTTCATTTCCACTGCTTCCAAAGGACTGCAGTCTGATGTAGCACTGGTGCCAACCTGGCTCAGTTGGTAGCACTCTGGCCTCTGTGTCAGAAGGTTGTGAGTTCAAATCCCCAAGTCAGGACTTTGAATTCACAGTCTAGGCTGACACACCAGACAATGCTGGGAGAGCATAGCGTTGTTAATGGTGCCGTCCTTCAGATGAGATGTTAAACCAAAGTCCCATCTGCCTATTCAGGTGGAGGTTAAAAATCCCATGGCACTAACTCTAAAAGTGAAGGAAATTTCTCCCTGGTGTCCTGGCCAACAATTCCCTGAATAAAATCGGTCATTTGCTTCATGTTTGTGAGCTATTGCTCTAGGCAAATTGGATGCTGCATAGAAAAACAGTTACTACACTTTGCAGTAAAATCCTACGCAGTGCTTTTAGATGGCACGATAAGGTGCTGTATCAAGTGAAATGATGATAGAAATCCTGTAGAAATACAGTCAATTCACTTTGCAATATATTCTGCGGTTTGAGATATTTCAGCGATGTGGTAAAGCTCTATATCAAATGTTAGGATTATTATAATTAACAATGGACATTAGCTTTCCAATAACTTAGTGAATCTGGAGTAAGCAACTTGACTCAGGGCTGTGTTAAACAGGGTTTGGCTTACACTGCAAACATCACTCAGAGTGGTTGTCAGCTTTTAGGTTGAAAATTCCTCTCTCTTTTCTGTTCTGTGTACACAACGTATTGTTGATAGCATATCTGATGTGTTTCAATAAGGTTAACATAAGTAGGCGTTTTCCACTGATTGGAGAGCTCGTAACTAGGGGAACACAAATTTAAGATAGCAACTAGTACATTTAAAAGAGAGTTTAGAAGGAACTAGTTCACGCAGAGGGTAGATTGCGGAACTCTTTGTCTGAAGTGATGGTTAAGTTAGTATAGATGTAATCAAAAGGAAGCTAGACCTTCACATGAGGGAAAAGGGAATAGAAGCGTATGGGAGGGAGGGAGTAATGGGTGGAATATAAACATTGGCACTGACTGGTTGGACCAACTGGCCTGTTTCCATGTTGTACATTCTTGTAAATCGTTCTAAGCAAATGCCTATTGTATTGACTGTATCAGAGACTGAATCTGCTGTGTTGAGATATTCATCCTTTGCAGAAAGTGCTACATAAATGCAAGTTGTCGCACCTTCACGATGCTCTATTTCGGGACTTTAAACTCACATGACCAAGGCTGATACTTCCAGTACAGTGCTGCAAGGCTTATTATCACCATCTACTGGCTCTGCTGTAGAGTTGCTGGTTCTTTCGGGCTGTTGTCTTGGACAGACTCTCGTCTCTGCCCAAATATTTCAGCGATCGTCAGTTCTCTCTCAGAGTCAGGCATCACTCTGTGTCTGATGTACCTTGCCTTTTTTGCTTCTGCAAAGGCCTCACTGAATGTGGGCATGGTGTACATGGTTCTGGGCAGCCCATCTGGGGTATAAAGTTCCATATCCAACGTTTGGTTTTCAGGCAATACTGAAAGCTGGGGGCTGATAGCCGGACACACGGAGTTTATTTGTTTTCCTGCCAAGTCGCTGGTACCAACGTTCCAATTTCCTCTGCCCTCGCTCTCCACTTGTGATGTCTGGCTGCCTGCTTGGCCCTCCCTTTGCTTGGGTGCCTCCGCGGCCACTGCTCTTACTGAACTGCTCAGGCGCTTCGCGATGCTGTGTTTCACCTCTAACATGTTAATGTCACTGATGGAGGCTTCGGGTTTGGGCCTGTGGGGCCCAGACGGCGTGGAGGCTCTTCCCTCCTCTTCCTCCACCTGCCCACTTGACTTGTCCTTCTTGCTGCTGATCCGATTTAGGAACTCATTGATCCGTGTCTGCAAAGCGACGGATGGATCAGCGGGTGTCTTGACACTATCAACCTTGGCAGATCGGTATCTTTGAGTCCTGGGGAAAGGAAAATATCACAGCAAACGAATCATCCCAAAATATTCTTGTTTCCTCCTCCTCCTCCTCCTCAAGTTATTATGGTGCCTTGTACGCTGCCCCACGTGAAGGACGCTATATAAATGCAAGTTATTGTTGAAGCTGTTATTGCTGTACCATGACTTGTCTCAAGCCTGACGTTCCCAGGATGTAACACTCTTACAGACATCAAAAACTCCAAATGATGAAATGTTTGGCATGGTGACAACTTTAATTTATTGAATCCTTCACTTAAAAATCAGAGCTATTCTGTTTTCTGGAAGAGACAAGTTCTCAGACTAGGTTACGTTGCTTCGCAGGGGAGGAGACATGGGCGTGAGTCTTGTTAATCATGCATGCTAAGCATACTGAGACAATTTGCAAGTCGGTTTAGATTTATTCGAGAGGCAAAGGTGTAACATTGAGATTAATTAGAGGTGGAGTGTACAGTATGTTGTGTAGGAGTCCCAATTTAAGCAATTTAGATCCCTTATTAAGGAGCCCCACTCCATGGTACAGCAAGTTAGAACTCAATGTAATTTTCAACTAGTAGATGCATATGAATTGATTACCCTATCCTTGGAGGCAGCAAAGTGATTTGATCTGGCACTTTGGGCCGCATGCTCGCTTAAAGTACTCTTCATTACTTAATGTAAGGAGGAGAAGCGCAGACAACAATGTCTTTGTGAGTTGTGTTGTTTAATTAGAGCATCATTAATCTTTAACATTGCTGCAATAGAATCCTGGAGCTCAAACACGTCCTGATAGGAATGCAATACACTATGATGAAAACAATGGGATACTTTCCAGACACAAACAATCCTATTAGTCAGTCTTCGGCTGTGACCTGTTGAGCATGCCTTCACTGATTTACATTTAGATATCAAAAAGACAGGAAGTAGGTTCTTCCACAGGTACATCTGAACTTTTGGATTAAGGATGATTCTGAGGAAAGAAACTACTGAGTCAAATTATCGAGAATAAGAATGTGTGTGTGTGAGAGAGAAAGAGCTGTTAGAGAGAGATAGAGAGCACAGCCCTATTAAAGATAACAGAAGGCTCTATACAACATGAGTGTGGGCTCACAGGTCCACTAGGGTAGGGTGACCACATGTCCCTGATTTTCGGGGACAGTCCCCAGATGAGGCATTGTGTCCCTGGCTAAATTTGCCCTGGTTTGAGTTCAGCAACAAACTGAGAAGGAACAATAAAACTTTAAAACAGATACACTCATCAGAGAAATATAACCATTAACCCAACATGTTTCTCCAGTACTGCCAGGATCAGGAATTGTGATCAATTCAATTTTTTTAATATCTGCGTCCCCAGATTTGGTTCCCAAAATATGGTCACGACTAAAGTAAACTCTGAAGCCTGCACAGTACTGGGAAGCTTTAGTTCTGCTGCAGTGTAAAGAGTTTTGAACTCTCAGCTCTTTCGATCTCAGCTCTAAGATGCTCAAACAACTGAGTTAATTGTGGTAATGTTATAGGTATGGGAAACTGAATCCACCAAACTGCAGCATTTCATATGATTACCGGATTGCCTCTGACTCCTTGTTAAGGGTTTGGTCCTTGACAGCTGGGATGGTTGGCAAAATAATCTTGTTGCTGCAGAAGTTTTCTTTATTAGGAGTAACATTGGCAAAGAACGAGCTTCCAAAGCTGCACGCTGTCTTCTTGGAATAACCTGCAAAATGTTATATGAGTTGAGAATCAGCCATGGGGCATAACCTCTGGCACTTTTATACAGAGGTGCATGCTGATCAAAGTGTCATGACAAGAACAAGCAAGGCATTGCTAATCTATCACCCTCTGTTTATATTATCTTTTTAGCTCACGGAGGAATCTACCTCCTGGATTCAATTACACCACGAACCAGCAGAATGAACCCTGATCAGCAATATAATTATTGTCAGTGTCAACAATAATAATAATATAAGAAATCCTTGCATTTGATATAGCACCTTATCACGTTGTTGAGACATCTCAAAGCGCTTTAACTTACAATGATTTTTCTTCCCTTAAAGGGAGCATGTTCTCTACACAAACTTCCCTTCTCTGGCCGTTAGACATCTTATATACGTGAACAATGCGTTTCTTTCTCTTGCTCTTTTGTTCCCTCCCTCATGAGCTAAACGCATCTCAAAGGCCTTCACACATAATGGCTGTCAACTAGGAGCATTTATAGGCAAATGTGGCAGTCACCAATGTTCCACAAACAGCCAGCCGTGAAGCGAATGACCATGTTATCTAAGGATCTTTGGCAAGAGCACTTGGATAAACTCTTTTTGAACATGATCATTGGATCTTTAATGTCCACATGAATCTCAGACGGGAGCTTAGGTTCGGGTCTCAACTGAAGGACAGCACTTCCAACTTATAGCACTCCCAGCACACCCCTGGCTTGCCAACCTTCTGACTCAGAGACGAGAGTGCCACCAACTAAGCCAGGCTGATCTGAGCTTGTGTTAGATTGGGTGTCCTATCCCGGTACCACTCCATTAAACACACACAAGCAGAAAGGAAAGCAATTACTAAGCACTCACCATGCACTACTCTCATAAGGTCTCTCTGAACACGCCTCTGCTCTTTACTCATCGCGTTGACATAGTAAGCTTGTGCTTCGTCCAGGTCATTGAGTTGGTTCATTAGCCTGGCTTCTGCTCGTTTGGCCTCGCGGTGCTCTGCCTCCAAACGCCTTGTTATATCAGCCTCTGCGTTACGCAGTCTGAGACGCTGCATTTTCTGGGTGGAAGCTGCAGAGTGAACAGGAGCCATTAGTAATTACCATCAAACGAACCTGTCAACAGAAATACACAGTCAATTCCCTTTACAATATATCCCGTGCAGCGCTTTGATACGTCTCAACGACGTGATAAGGTGCTATATCAAATGCAAGGATTATTATTTTATTATTATAATGCTAATTAGCAACAGAGGAACAGGTTAGGTTTCAAGCACTGCTCGCGTGGATAATACACAACCCGCTTTGCTACCTGTGTATCACACTCAGACTGGGTGCTTGTGTTTTATGTTACTAAACAAATTGTGCTGAGATCCGCTCTGTGTTAATATCATAAAGCAGCAATACACTGGGCTGTTCAGTGGATGGCCTGAGAGCTCCAAATTGAATTGATCTGGGGAGGGGGAGGGGTGGGGGGGGAAAGAACTGAGTTCGGTGACATTTGTACGTTCATTTATATGTTGTGACTGTGACTATCGCTGATCCTGGAACTACTGCCCCTAGCTAGGGTAGCTATAATATGGTTTGTGCTTTCTGAGCACCTTTTAAACAGCACCTGGCAGAAAATGGATGGCAAAACCACAGCTATTCACCACCTTACACCCGTGTGTTGTGACACAACATCGAAAGGTGGAGACGCAGGGAGAGGGCGATTTAGACTCTCAGAACTCCCGTGGTTAAAAATTCTTTTTTTGCTCCAAAATCCATCACCGTGCTTAAGAGATAGTATCCAAACATTCAAATTGGCTGCTGCTTTTCACCCACAAGAAACACAGTAAATCCACTTTACAGCATATCCTGTGAAGCGCTTTGAGACATCTCAACGACGCGATAAGGCACTACATCAAACGCAAGGATTATTATTGCACTGTACATTTTCTGTAACAATTTACATAAAGCAGAAATACAGTACTCAAAAAATGACACTCACCGATTTTATAAACTCACAAAGAAGTGGTGGTGGGGGAATCTTGCAACGATTCAATGGGACTGATCCTTCACTTCTTTTTATATATAATAATAACTATTCTGGGAGTCCGCAAATGAAATTGATGCCGCAGTTGGAGTCAACATTATCGTGATCAGCCCTTTTGCATATTGCAGTCGCAGATGTGCAGGGCTGAACAGTGCTCCTTTGCCTTTGTTGGGCTTTGGTTACTGTCACTCTCTGCTGCTGATTACTGTTGTTGCTGCTGCTGCTGCTGCTGTTTCTAGGTCAGAGCTAAGTAGGGAGGGACATGAATTGAATGAGTGGGCACCTTGGAAACCCAAAACCCTTTTTGTAGTGTTGGTGCCAGTGCTTATGTGACTCAAGGCAACACTTCCCCCCTCCCCAACCCAAACCCTGCTTCTTACTCTATTGAATCTTGCCTTCATTGTTCGCTCCGTGAAACTGATTTATGCTTCGATTTGGGTGGAAGGGGAGGGAGGTGGGGAACAAAACCATTAGAACAGCAACACTTTTCGTTTCATTCCAAGAGAGAAAACAAATCATGAGCAAATAAACCAAAGTCGCAAATTTATCTTACATTGGTTTGATGCTCCATTAAATTTAACCTCTTTATTGCTGTAAATATAAATCCTTACATTTGATATAGAAAAGATAGAGAAAAGAATTCAGAAATTTACCAACATCAGGATGCTTTCTAAAATGCTACAGAAACAGTGTAATGTTATACCCAGGTGAAATTTTTCTCTTGATGTTTCTGTAAAGTATGACAGTGCATTTGTAAGTGTTGAAAAAAAGTTTTAATGAGGATGCTTCTTAATAAACACTTACAGACCACTTTTACCTACAGTATGTATATAGTTCTAATAACCAGAAACACCCTCTCTCTCTCTCTCTCTCGCTCTCTGATGTTTATTGACCTGCTGTGCTTTTCAGGCACTTTAGTTATTTTAAATTTCTAATCTTCTCATTTTTAAAAAAAATCTCCTACTCTAAACCTAACCTCGTTTCCCTGTCTACCTCTAACTAAAACACACTGTCTAAACAGTGATCGCTTTGAAATCAAAAGATTGTAATATGTTTTCTTGTTTTGAATTGTAAAATTTAAGAACAAAATTTTGGTATAAGCTGGTTCCTTTTTAAACCCGGCGGAAACCAACCTCCAAATTTTTAGATTGAAGTTAAGAATTTTCCACTATTCTACGTGTTCGTAATTTTTAAAATGATCTTACAGGGTGAGAGTCTGTGGAAAGTAGGGTCTCAAATAGTTCAGAGACAATGAATCTGGACGGTGGAGAGAAACTGGCAGAGGAATGAATTTGTGAACGATGGCTAGATTTTTAACACACATGATTTATTGCACATGAAAAAATAATAATTTGGTTACTCAATCCGCAACTGTTTGTGGGACACTGCTGTGTGCAGTTGGCTGCCGCATTTTCCCACAAAATACACAGCCAATTAGCTTTACAATATATTCTGTAAAGCACTTTGAGACATCTCATGATAAGGTGCTATGTAAAATGCAAATATTATTATTATTATTATGATTAAACACTATTGTGCATTTAGAAAGTCTTTTTCCTGGTTTCAATAAGAAGAAATTATATTGCCATTCACTTCCTCTCCAGGGATTTTACAGTCCCAACATCTGAAATGTTGCACAAAAGAAAAGTTGCTACATAAATCACTGCATAATGGTGTAGAACATTAAGAATTTTTTTTAACAATCGTGACATCTATTTTGCAGAGAAAGAATTGTGAGAACGGCGGAAAGCTTATCAATAGCTTCAATGGTCTGAAAGTAAGCAGAGTACGTTCTTGCTCTGTTACCCACGTCGTGGATCATCTTGCCAAACTGGAGAGGACAAAGTCTTCTTAAAAGATGTTTTGTAACACACGATTAACTTTATTTACTTGTAGGCTGTGATTTGATCTAGCTACCTTTCCGGCATTGGATTGTTTTATAATAATAATATATAATATAATAATAATCCTTGCATTTGATACAGTGCTTCATCACGTCTTCGATACTTCTCAAAGAGCTTCACAGAATACACTGTAAAGTGAATTGACTGTATATTTTGTGGGCAAAATGCAGCAGCCAATTGCGCACAATGGTGTCCCACAAACAGTTATGGATTGAAATGACCAAATTCTTCTTCTTTTTCGTCTTCTTCTTCTTATTTTTATTATTATTATTTATGAAGGGATTATTACCCCCAGAAAACAATCTGCCAATCGACTAACAACTGGGTTCCTACTTACTGCTAGGTAAACAGAGACGTGTGGAGTAAGAAAACTTTCCTAAGATTTTAACAAGAAAAATGGTGCCCCATTTGATTTGGATATGCCAAGTAAATTTCAGCTGGGTTTATTTTCCGATGGACACCCTGATCTATTTCCAGATTACTGTATATTCTGGACGCATAAAGAGCTAGATATGTGTGGATATTGCTTCGGCTACTTCAGCTGTTCTGGACGGAGGTAGAAGCAGGCAATGTTAAGCAACAGCCTGTAAATAGATTTTAAGAAACACACCCCCTTGGGAGTATGAGAGATTGAGAGCTAAACATTTCTTGATTCAAATTAAAAAATATATATAAAGCTATTTTTGACTTCTATTTTTCCACCACCGTTTGATATATTATAGATAAGTCCAATGACGTTTTGAAGCACAAGAAGTACAGTTCAGGGAACAATTGCTTGCTTTGTCAATAACAAGACGAGACTGCTGCCAAATACCACTAAAGCAGTCAGAACACACTCAACCTACAATTATGAACAAAGTGTGTGAACAGTGTGTAACCAGGTTGGAGAGAATTCCTCTGCGTCTCAGTGGGAGACTGAGAGAGAGAGAGCACATTGGATGCCGAAAACTGCATGTTAACTCAGTTCCCCCCAACTGCACAGCAGTGCCCTTCAGAGGGAAACTGCTCTGTTCTTTTCAGGTTTAATGAGACAGATAGCATTATGGCCATAAAGCTGTTTACTGGTGCAAAACAAACACCGTTTTCATAGCGTCTAAGAAGAAAGAAACTATTTTTCTAGTGGTTTGGCATACTGAAGCATCTCAAAGTGCTTCACCAGTAATAACTGTCCAAAAGTGCGATGCTTTTGTTGGGAAGTCCCACAAAAAGCAAGGAAGTTTCGCCTACAAATTATACATCAATTCACTTTACAGTGTATTCTCTGAAGCACTTTGTGGGACATTGCTGTGCGCAAATTGGCTGCCACATTAGCTTCCAAAATCCCAAATCACTAAATTTGACAGTACATCTTGTGAAGCACTTTAAGATGCCTGGACAACTTGATAAGGTGCTATGTGAAATACATGGATTATTATTATCACATTACAAAAATGTACAACATTATCTTTCTTGGAATCAGACTGATCTCTCTCTATCATACAGGCTGCTTAAAATTGGGCTGAGGAGATTTTGATAACAAATAGTTGCAGTAACATTAGTTGTTCTTGAAGCCACAAAAGAACACTACGCTTCCCAATGAGCGAACAGTAAAATTTAATGATAAGTATTACTTAAGTATACAATGTTCAAATCAATAGGGCGTGACTTGTGCCATCAGAAAGCTAAAACATGATTTCAATTAATGTACCTTGTGAACAGGTTACTGTGGCCCGAGGCTGTAAATTTAGAGTGAATAAAGTGTTATTGTTCTTGTTACATGGGGAACTTGTCACACGTGCTTGAATGGATTGTGTTGCATTTGAGAGGAATTAAGAGCCCACTCAGGTCATGGTCATATCAGGATTTTTTAAAAGAAGCTCCTGAAATTCCATCTAGTCTTAACCTCTGAAACTACTTTGTCTCAAAATTGTGATAAATTTTTCAATTCAGCCAGGAAGCCAGTTTTCCTGCTGTTTTTTTTAAAAAAAGGCAGCTGGCTTCCAAAATAAGATCGAGTTTGGGATTTTCCACAATCTTGTGCAGACTGCAATTCTATGACCAAACGGCTGAGAGTGGATGGAAGTTTGGACTGTAAGTGTTCCTATGATGGCAGAAGGCTTCCTCTCAAACAATGTAGTTCCTTTACAATCTACCAGGCCTTAACAAATTTCTATTATAGTCTTTCATGAAATATGTCTTTTTTTGTTACCCTTTATGGTTTCAGTTATGAAACCCTTAAAACCAGTTGAATACGAAATAAGATACGCAGGCAGGCACTAATATGCTTTTTGCACTTTGGGTACATTCACAATACAGGGGCAATAATTATAAGATAGCCACTAGCAGATCCAAAAGTCAATTTAGAAGCAACTTCTTTATGTAGACAGTGGAACTCACTAACAGAAGCCGTGGTTGATGCAGAAAACATCAATGTATTTAAGGGGAAACTTGATGCATACGCGAGTGAGAGGGAAGAGAGGGATATGGAAAAGGGGATTAGGAAAGTTAGAGATTTATATGGAGTATAAACACTGGCATGGACTGGTTGGGTCAAATGGCCTGTTTTCATGCTGTAACTTTCTATGAAATTTGTGAAAAGGCATTCTAATGCATTGTTTGCCAGTCACCAGGTGATAAGACTTAAGTAACTGTGGTGTTAGTGATCACATCACTTTATTTTACAAAACTGGTGAAATATTGTATCAATGTGTGGGCAACAAAGTTACAGAGTACAGCAAAAGTATGCAAGTGGTATACAAAATGTATCCAGCATACAATGATCCATCATTGTTTAATGGACGTACATGAATTGTAGGGAAACTGAATGAAACTATTGTACCTTGTAGCAAGTTGGACGTAAACAAAAAGCTTAAATGTTATTGTTTTCCTCCGGCAAGTTTTTCAGATTTAATAAGCAATTGAAATGTTAAAATGATATTATTCTCCACCCTGGCTCTTGATTTTCTTGTTGTAGCATTGGATGGTTTTGCAACTCTGCATACAGAGTGATCAGACCCAAGAGAGCGTTCCTTGGCTACAGAAATGTAGGAAAGTCTACTGCAATACAAAACAAATTCACATTTATACAACAACGACAACAACTTGCATTTATATGGCACCCCTCACGACTGTGACTGTGTATTTTGTAGGTGAATGCGGCAGCCAATTTGCTCACAAACAGCCATTAAGTCAATGACCCATTTTAACTAGGGTATAGTTGGCTAGGACACTGAGAGAAACTCCTTTCTTTTTTCAAATAGTGCCATTAGATTAGCTAGGAGGGGAAAGGTTTAGCTCCTTTAACTAGGTTATTTAAATACCAGTTTAGCATCTGTCGACTCTAGGTTACTGCAACTTACCATTTGATCTGTAATCCAGACGTGTTAATGAGAAACTTGAATGTGAACCACTTTTGTGATCTTGTGAACTGCAGTATCTGCTATCCAAGGAGTCCTCTAGTGAGAATTTTGAAGAAATATTACAGCCAACTGTGAGTAAAGGATTCTCTGAACCTAATGAAAGGTATTGCCCTGTCCTCAGTCGGATCGCTAGCATCATGAGAAGTTACCAACCACCAGTAGCCTAACTGGTGAACTACAGATTCAGGGAGTAGAAACTCAGTTCAGGAATCTGACCCTGATGTCTGCGACCATGTCTCTGATATCTAACCCTCAAACATACGTTACCTGGCACCCTACGTACAGTAAGAATCTGCCATGCTGATTGAAACCTTGCTTCCCCCTTACTTCTGTGACCCCTACCCCCTACCAACCTGTCTGCTCCTTTCGCTCAGCAGGCTTTGGTCTGATTCACATCCCCCGCCTTGCCCGCCCCATCATTGGCAGGCGGGCCTTCAGCCTCTTTGCCCCCACCCTCTGTAACTGCATCTCACAGTCCCTCCGCCTCACCCCCCTTCCTTGCCTCCTTCAATAGCCAAGACTCTCAGTTTTTTGGACCTGGCTTTTAAACAAGACCATCTCTGTGTTATACTTTGACGAATTTGTGGGAATCCCCTGAGGAGGAAGAGTGCGCATTTTGTGTAACCACAAATAAAAAGCAGGAAATGTTTGAAGTATGCAACAGGTTGGTCATGATCTAATAGTGGACCTACGTGATTTATCTAAGTCAGATTTAAGGGTGTGTATAGTACAGCGGGAATCACAGGTGACATTGTCATAAATAATGTCATCCATGTGCCATCCTTTTAATTAATTACTTAGCTTAACACATGTCAGGCGATCCGTGCACAACGTGTTTGCAGTTTGCACGCGGCTTACACGACTTGCGCAACATTTCCAACAAAATACATCAGTACATCTGCTTAGACCCTTTAGCAGGGCTTGAATGTCTGAAAAATTAACTTCTGTTGTGCCCTGTGGTCCAACAGAGTTTTATTTTAGACTTTGCAGCTCTGCAGTTGATTTGAGCTTGACCACGCAAACAGGTTTGAGTTGAAGCATTGCCATGGTCGCAGAACAAAAAGGAACACAAAAAAAATTCCCAATGGCTGGTGCTGAGCTGTTGTTTGGCTAGCACAGGATGGCCTTTTGAATGCCGTTTTCAGAACTGGCGTATGATCAAGCAAATATAAATAGCAATTTATTTAAAATTTAAGCAATGTTGGTCTGTATGTGCGTGGGGGTGGTGGTGGGGGGAGGTAGGAGGGCTTGTTCCCAGTGTGGTATGCTTAGAATGTCAATTGAGGTTAAAACTAGCTCTGTAACTTTTGCTGTTTTATCACAAATGGTTGACATGGATGCAGAAGAACATGACTTGGAATGAAGAGTATTTATTTAGTACAGGCACTTTCTCCCCTTCCTCTAACAGTCGTTACATCTTAAATATACCCTGTGAAGGGCTTTGCGATGTCCCACTGATATGAAAGGTGCTGTATCCAATACTAGGATTACTAATATTTTTATTATTATAAGACCTTTGATTCTTCTTTAGTGTCTTGATTATTTTACATTTTTTGTGTTTTACATTCATCAGGAGAGCTCACTTTTTAATTTTCTGTCACAATGTTTGTATCAAATGTTCCAGGTAAAACCAGAACATCTTGCATTTATATAGTGATCACCATGCATGATAGCATCTCAGAGCACTTTTAAAACACTGCTAGATACAGTGCTGCCTCTGCCTTTGTAACTGAGCCTGAAGAACATCTTCCTTTCTTGCATTTGCGATTTCCTGCAACCTTATTGACCTAGATTATCAGTCTAGTCCCACTTAATGGCACATTTGCAAAAGATTTTGGAGCTGTGGATTTGGAGCAAATAGAAGCTAGATTGAAAGAGCCCAAGCGCACTTCATATAGCCTGGGGATTCCAAATTATGTCCATATTCATTTTGACATAGTTTTTACTGAGATCCAGATACTCACTTACAAAATATACAGTCAATATACATCACAGTAAATCATGTGAAGTGCTTTGAGGCACCCTCCTAACATGAAAGGTATTTTATCAAATGTAAGAATTAGAGTGAACGCCTATTGACACAACTTTTAAAGGGAAAAGGGCTCAGTGTTGAGTTACTCAGAGTGGCGAGTTAGGCATATGTACAAATATATAAATCAATGTGGGCGGGAGATTGACAGCATGATAATGAGCCAGGGTTAATTTATCAGGAGTTTTAATGTAATTGTTACATTTAACATAGCACCTATCATTGGTTGGATTCTGGGAAAACAACAGGAGGCAAATGCAATTATACCAACTATATGTTGTAAAAGAGTTAAATAAACCTTTCATAGTTTAATTGTTGTTCTGATAGATGTTGTTCAGGCATAGTTGAGATAGATATAGGTTGCATTTGTTTGAACTATTTTAGTTTCCTGATTGATGACCTTAATGGGTGAACAATGAGAAATGAGAACTTATGTGCCTTGAAATTTGCATAGAAGTGCGATCGTAATCCACTGAATGGCTGCAAAAGTTTCTTCCTGCTTTACAACATTCTTTATGTCCTCTTGTTTCTTTTCTGTATATATTTAATGCAAATGCATCGAGATGTTTCATTTTTGTTCTTCATCTCGCTTTTAGTTTGTGAACAGAATGACTTAAAAATGTGGATTGACAAGCTTTCCGGTGCACAGAGAGACCTTTAAAAATGCTAAAATCAGGCAGACCCCACCCCAATGGCAAACATACAGTAATTCCCGGTTACTGCCTCATTAACTTGGTCTCTTCCGTGTTCCAGCAACTAAATTGCGATTGGGAATCAGTCATTGTTTATTCACAGTGACGCTGAAATGTTCCCTGGACATGGTCCCATCCCGTGTTTAAGGTGCGACCGACATCCTTTCACTGCACTGCTGAGCTGGGACAGAAGAGACAAGTGTGAGTAAATGTTTTTCATAACGTATTGCGCTTGCTTTATTCTCATAAAATGAATTTATACTGAATGCCGAAACCGCTTCCTTCCCAACACTTAACCATGAGCTCTAACCTATGATATTTCTTCAAGAGATTTCTTAATAAGTTACAGGCTTTCTTGATGGGTGAATGAGAAGTGAGAAACAACAACAACAAATTTAAGTTATAAAACCTTTCACGTCAGGGGTTGGATTCAGGAGGGGTGGGCGCCGATGGGATGAGGCGGGGAGATGACCGAAGGTGCGGTGGAAGAGGAAGATCTTGAGATGAACTTTGAAACCGCCTGAGTTCAATGCTTTTGCACATCTGAAGAGAGGCAAGTAATGATCACCCCTGTGCTGGTCAAGCGGTGACTTTTTGTATGCATTTAAATAAATAGGCAATACTGTGTCACCCTGTCTCAATTGGTAGTACTCTCTTGCCTCTGAGTTAGAAGGTTGTGCGTTCGAGCAACAAGTTGGGACTTGGAACGCATATCGTCTAAGCTGATACTCAATGCAGTGTTTTCTGGAGTGTGCTGCATTGTTGGAGGTGCTGTCCTTCAGCTGAGATGTTAATAATAATAATAATAATAATATTCCTTGCATTTGATATAGCATCTTATCGCGTTGTTGAGACGACTCAAAGCGTTTCACAGAATATGATGTAAAGTGAATTAATTGCCTGTTAAATGGAGAACCCGTTTGTTTATTCATGTGAACCACTTATGGATAGTCCATTGAGAGTGCAGAATGGATTGATGGACAGGTAAACGGCCGAATATGAGTGCAGGGTAAGTTGATTGGCAGGTGGATGGTCCAACGGGAGAGAGTACTCACTGACGTTAGCAAAAGTTACAGTTTCTGGGCTGTGATTTTCTTATGGCATGATTCAAAAAGAGAAGAGTTTTTCCCGGTGTCCTGGCAAACGATCTTTCCACATAAAATTGATCATTCACTTCATGGCTGTTTGTGGGGACATTCCTGTGCCTGACTTGGCTGCCGTATTCCCCCGTGAAACACACACATTTACTGCATTTTACAGTACATCCTATTAAGTGCTTTGGGACGTCCTCCTTGTGTGAAAGGCGCTATACCAAATGCAAGGATATTATTAATGTGATTGATAATTTAAACACTTATATTTCACTGATGGTATAAAAGACAGAGAATCAAGCAAAGAAAAAGGGGAGCTAAGCTCTAAATTTAGTGTTATGTCCTCTTGCTTTAGCAATTATTTTGTCCATTATTTTGAACGCCTCAATCAGATCACCCTTCAGTCTTTTTAAACTCCAACTAATATAACCCCAGTCTACTCAGCCACTCGTGATAGTTAAAGTTCTTTAATTCCGGGTAATGCCTGGTTTCAATATGATTACAAATGACATCAGTAGAATAAACAGAGACTGTTTTTGTCTCAGAGGTATGGGTTAAAGAAAAGACAACTGGTAATATTCTTACTGTATGTCATAGGTGAGGGATGCACAGATCTAGGTTAATCAAGGGCCTCTGTATTGGTTTCCATCCACTAGAAAATTACAATCCAGTGTGAATATAACAATCTCTTCCTCTTACAGTTCATACCTCAGGTGCCAAGCTGAGAATATTTAATCAATACTTGCTGCATTTATTCATTAATTCTTGGAAGGAAGACAATAATTAACATTAACTGAACTCAAAGGTGTCATTCCTTTCACACCCAGTAAAACATCCTTGTGTTTTAGATTTTTGATGAAGTTGGATCCGCTGAGACTCCAGGACAACGTGTGTAACAAGGGATAGCTGAAAGTTGGAGAGTACCCTGAACAAATTATCGTCGACGAAAAAGTTGCGGCTGCAAAAAAAAGAGAGGAGTTTCCTATTTGGAAAATGGATGGATCCTTCATCATAGGGTCTTATTTCCCAAAGCTCCTTGGACTGTTCTGGGTTTTCTTGATATCTGAAGGAGTGTTGGTTGTTGGTTGTCCATTTCGATGCACGTGCAGTCAGCTTCTTGTAAACTGTACGGATAGAGGCCTGCAACGATTTCCAGCAAATATTTCACTCAACACCAAGCAACTGGTTCTCTCTGACAACAATGTTTCTCAGCTTCCTACTTTCAAGCTTAAGTATCTGGGGAATTTATTGCATCTTGATCTCAGGAATAATTCGATATCGGAAATCTCTGAAAGCTCATTGCTCGGCATGAAGATGCTTGTGTACTTAGATCTCAGCTACAATAAGCTAAGGTCTATCTCTCACTCGGTATTCCAGCCCTTGACAAATTTGCTTGTGCTGAAGATAAATAACAATGACGGATTGACTTTAATTGATTCATCTGCATTTATAAAAAACATAAAACTTGGAGAAATTGACATAAGTGGCAACGCTCTTACACTTGTTAATGTCAGAGCATTCAGAACACTTGCTCATTTAAAATCCCTTCATATGGCTGGCAATCACTGGATTTGCAACTGCAACATCAATGATTTAAGTAATTGGATGGGAAACAACCGAGAAATTATTCCAGGTGAAATTTATTAATTATAATAATTATCCTTGCATTTGATAGAGTGCTTTATCACATAATTGAGACGTCTCAAAGCGCTCCATAGAATACATTGTAAAGTGGATTGACTGTGTATTTTGTGGGCGAAACGCGGCAGCCAATTGCGCACAGCAAACAATCATGGATTGAGTGACTTTTTTTNAGTTTACTTTATTTATCCAATACTCCTCTTTCATCTTAAATGATGACAAATTTGGGAGTCTAACATATTTTGAGTTGTAACAGAAAAAATAAATTTCCTTACTCAAAGGAACTCCACTTCGAATCAATGTACTTTAGTAGTGGTTTTCCCATGATTGTGTGAAATACATAACGTACTTCTGGTAACTGGAAGGAATCCTATTTGGATTCCTTAGTTGTGGAATTTCACTAGAAATCACTGGATATTAGACTCATATTTGGTTACTCATTTTAAGACTGTTTGCGGGACATTGCTGCGTGCAAATTGGCTGTCACCTTCACCTACAAGACACATGGTCACTACACTAAACCCAAAAGTAAATCCGGTAAAACGCTTTGAGACATCCTCCTGCCTTGAAAGGCACTATACAAATGGAAGGAGGGTTTTTCTATTAATTTTGATGCTGTGGACATATATTGAAATTAGCATTTAAGATTGAAATTGCTCAAATTCATTTCACTTAAGACTCTTAAAATGAAGTCCCGTCCGTCTGTTCAAGTGGAAGGTAAAGATCCCATAGCACTGTTCAAAAAGAGAAGGCAATTTCTCCCGGTGTCCTTCCCAACAATCCCCCAAATAAAAAAAATTGATTTATTTCATGGCCTTTTGTGGAACATCGTTGTGCACAAATTGGCTCCCATGTTCGCTCACAAAATAAACAGTTGTTCCATTTCAGAGTAAATCCTGCAAAGCAATTTGTGACGTCCTCGTGACATGAAAGGTGCAAATGTCAAGGTTATTAAAGATTATTATTATTATTAAGTTCATCAGCCACACAGCAGATTGAATCTCACTGATTCTCTGTCAGAACACAAGATGGAGCACTCGGCTTGCAGCAGGTTACCCAGGAGAGAGGGAAGGTAAAATATTGAGGGCTAGTTACCCCTGGCATGTCTTTTTTATGTGGAATTTGTCCTGTAGACAGTGACAGTCTCTGAGCATGAAGCACAACAGCAAAGGAAACTCCTAAAATGGCTGGGCGGTAGGGAAGTAAAGGGGAAAGGAAATCACTAAACCACAAACTCACCTCAAACCACAAACATTCAGAAATAATACAGAACAAGACATTACACACAAAGGCTAAGAAATTCTAGGTGTTGTATACCAGGATGAGACATTAACATCATGCAGAGTTTTGAAATATGATTTATTTTATTGCTGATTTCCTAACAGGATTCTTATATTAAGTTTGTTGTTCTCCTGGGTTAAAGAAGAGAAAAATCAGCTGGTAGTCTATGTGTGTGTCTGACGTAAGTGCTCCGAGTTGCTATTCTGATTGAAGGGCAAGTTGTTGTTGTAAGGACAGGATCAGTCTCAGTCTGAGCGCATTCCACAGTCAAATAGCCTCCCCCCGATATCCACTGCTTAGTTAATACAAGGAGAAGGACTACTTGGCTGAGTTACTGGCCGATGCTCTGTGCTTTGGAACTATACAGCAGCAGGAGAGAGAAGAGGAGAGAGACTGGGATGGGAACACAACAAGATCCTAAAATTTGAACATCAAGTTTGAAGATGTAAACAAATAGGATCCAGATTCTGACAACCTCTCCAAGCCTAAACCCAACACACACATCTGAATGAAATGGCTGATTTCTACCTTTCCGTTTAATCATCCTTTTCTCTGTCTTTACCAGATGCCGCTAATGTCATTTGCAAATATCCTAAACGAATGCATGGAGTCCGAGTCTTAGAGGTTGCAGATAAACTTCCGTTGTGCTGCCTACAGTTCAACTGCAGTCACCTCTTCTATTGGTTTCTTGTTGGCCCTGCAGTATTCACTGCCAGTATCATTTTCAATTTAATTTTGAGCTTAGTGATGTCTTTTTTCAGGCGATACAAAAAGAGGGATCTTGAAAATTACCATAAACTGCGCAAGGTTATTTCAATCCGATACTCCAAGCGGCCTATCGAAATTGTCCATGAAATCAATAGAAAGTTATCCTTCAATGGGAAACTTGTAAGATGATTGTAAGCGGGTTACACTGGCTAGGTTACTCTTGGATATTCAGTGTGAAATCAATCCATACGAGAATTACAGCAAGCAATTGTATGCCAACCAGACAGAATTAATTTTAAATGACTGTTAAATATAGCATCAACACTGTGATGTCTTGATGCCGAAATCATCCACGGTCACTTTGCAGTCAGATTGCAATTAACGTGTCTAATTTGTACTCGTATTTAACCCTTTGACTTTTACTTTCGTATCTGTCCAAATTTGAACAATGATTCTGCTGTATAATCCATGCTGGTGATTTTCTGTATATTATTTGATGCTGAATTGTACAAAGTTGAAATGCACAAAAATAAAGGATACTATTTAATCCAAAGCACCCTTGAAAATGATTTTTATTAAAAAGAATAATGTTCATACTACATAAAACAATAATATTTTATATACCTGTAACTCTATGAGGTTCCCTCAATGCGCAGGATTGTGGAAAATTCTTAAATTGGGTTTTAATTTAGTATCTGGATTTCTGGTCTTCTTACAAACACCCAGCTTCCAAGTTAAGGTTAAAATTTCTCCTCAACTGCTTTTTTCCTGTCTTAGGAATACAGGGTATAAACCAAATGCTGACTTCTTATGTTCTTATGTTCTTTCATTACTCTTTGTCTCATAGTGCCTTTGGGGAAACTGATTGAAAGCATTACGTTGACAGAGGTTTGAGGGAATGGAATTAACATTAATTAGTAACCCAAGGTACCTCACCAATTCTGTAATTTCAACTGTAAAGTGAGTCTAGGTTACCTTGGTTTCCTCACAGGTTCAGTATCGGGTTCTGAAACTTTCCTGAGCCAATTTCTCCTAATGAATCATCAATGTTGATAGGCTGAAAACGTTATCTTCCGAAAAGAGAAAGGGAAACCTTCACTTAAATTATTTTGTTTATCAAAAGAGGCATTGCTCAGGAAACTCCCTCTCTGAGATAGCAAAAATGTACTGACTCAATTGAAAAGTGCTGAGAAGGCAAACAGTGCTCCTCAAATGGTTAGATTCCTCTCAGGTTAACAGCTGCCATCAAAAGTTGACCCTGGGTGCAAAAACTTGTAAGGCTGCATTTTCCAAACAGTTTTCTTTTGTGAACAGGAGCCTATCTTACAGAGGATTCAGGCTACACTGAAAGCGACACAAAGCCTGATGCTGAGTTGGAAATGCTGCCACCTTGTGCAAACCCAACTTATAATATAAAATCTCTGGAGGAGTTCTGCGGCAGCATTGAGCCAGTCATAAGTTCACAAAAAAAAACATCCTTATGGAATACTGAACCATTTCCCCATCACAGTTTTGTCCACAAAATACATAGTCAATTCACTTTACAATATATTCTATTAAGCGCATTGCGATGTCTCAATGATTTAATAAGGGACTATATCAAATGCTAAGATTATTATTATTATTATTACAACAGTGTCAGGTTGTTTCATATATGTATCTATTGTTCCTACCCTTTAACATCTTTTTTAATAACACTTTCCATTATCTTTTGATTAAAAAAAACTCTTACCGATATTTGTGGTGAAATTTTCTTCCATAACCCTAACTTGCATTCATTCTGAATTTCCTTACCCATTTCCCAAATTATAATTTGAATAGGCAAAGGGTTAGCATGTTCATAGTCACTTAAGTGACATGTGGATTTTACCCTTCATGGAAAGAGGGGATTTGCATTTTTCATTTATAGAAAAAAAGTTTATCACAGTCCCTCCACCTTGCCCCTTCCCCTTGCCTCCTTCAAGACCCCTCTCAGGACCCTCCTCTTCGACCGTACCTTCGCTCACCCACCTACCCCTACTCTCCCTGCCCTCCATCTCTCCTGATCCCAACCACTAGCTCAGGTGTGGATCCCTGACTGTCAAGCACCTTGGGACATCTTTCTGACGTGAAAAGCGCGATACAGATGTAATTTGTTGTTGTTATTTTCTTATGGCTTAATTTACATATACACATTTTATGCAAATTCAATCAAATATTTTAAAACAAATTCGTTTTCAGAAAAAAATTCAGCAAAAGGAGAAAAAATGCAAAAATATCAAGGTTGCACTTTTGGGTTAGTGCCATTGTTGAAGCTGAGACTTCCAATGTTCCCATCATTTCCAGCCTGATACTATTTCCTTGCAGGGTAGGGTACATGATGAAAGTGATCGCTTCCTTATTACACCTGTCATCTATCTGAATCAACATAGCCACTGATACTGTGAAAAAATATGGTGAAAATGTCCTGGGTCAAAATAATTTTTAAATGAAGAATGAACTTAATATCAATTTAATTGCTCCTGCACTTGCATCCATAGATGTGTAAAAAATTGAGTTAAACCAGTTAATTGATAATTCACCTCATGGCGGTTTTGGGGACATTGCTGAATGTAAATTAACTGCCATATTAGCCTTCAAAATACTTGGTGGCTACACTTTACAGTAAATCCTATGAAGAGGTTTGAGAGGTCCTCCTGACATACATCAAATGCAAGGATTATTATCATTATCATTATCATTATTATTATCCACAAACCAGCACGGAAATGCTGGCATCTAGGGCTGATATTCGATCAAAGATTTTGGCGTCTCAACAGCTATAGAAACGTTTTTTTGGAGGAAAATCTTTTAGCAAAGTGTGGGTGGGGAAGAATTCCCTCAAGGTTATAATAATAATCCTTACATTTGTGTAGGACTTTATCACATCATTGAGATGTCGCAAAGAGTTTCACAGGATCCATTGTAAAGTGGTTTAACTGTTTATTTTGAGGGCGAACATCAGCTGCTAATTTTGCACACACAAATGGCCATGGAATGATTGATCAATTTTACTCGGGAGATTGCTGGTCAGGAAATGGAGAGGAACTCCCTTCTCTTTTCGATTAGTGCCATGGGATCTTTAACGTTTACCTGAACAGGCAGACGAGACCTTGTTTTAACGTCTCATCCGAAAGACTGGGTAATAGGATCCAGAGAAAGAGAAACAGAGAAAAGGTAGCCTAATTAAAGGAATTAAAAGAAAGTTAGAGGAGAGTATGTTTTAGATTCAACAAAAAAAGTAGAATGTAAAAAGCAGACCACTGTGACTCAGTTTCTTACTAAGATCTCCAGCTTTCTCACTGTCCAGCCTCTGTAAAATTAATAGATGCCCATGTGCCAAAAAGTGTGCTTCAAACGGAATATGACACAGGAGGCAACAATTTCACACGAAAATGGCACTGTGTGTCGGTTATTAGCAGGCACACCATAACTTTCAGAAAATGTGCCTCTGTGTAGCTCTGAAACGTTAAGGTTTAAAACAGACAGTCAGTGTCAGTCACGCTGTGAGCTTTACTTGGATAGGGCATGTCCTCTGATCGCAGGTGCTCTCTTTATCGCTCTCTCTCCTTGGAAGATTTCACTTGCCCCGTTTGTTTTGTGGAGTATGATTTAGGTGCACGTCTGCCCAGCATCCTGCCATGTCTGCACACTTTCTGTCAAGAATGCCTGGCAAATCTCGCCTTGAGTCACAGCAGGCTGGTTGTGTGCCCCTTGTGCAGAAGGACAGCAGCTCTTACAGAACAGCTGGTGGTGAACACAGAGATTACGGAGGCCCTGACTCGTGGTGCCACAAGACAGCGCAAGGAGGACTGCAGTTTGCGTCAACACGAGGTGGTCGAAGGTGCACTGAGGGAAGAAGAGATTGATTTGAACCCTGAGGAATGTCCTCTTTGCTCCTCCAGTTATGACGACATTGCAAGAAGTCCCCGAATGTTGGAATGTACTCACATCTTTTGTGAAAACTGTCTCTCAGCTATCTTAATGTCCTCCTCTGGCGGATGGGTTAAGTTCATTTACTGTCCAATATGTAGCAGTCAGACTGCTGTATTCTCCCCGCCCTACCCATCAGCTCCGCCAAGCACTTTGCCTCCTCCAGACCCCCTCTCTGGAGCACCCGCACCTACACATTTGCTCCTCAGCCTTGCCGAGACTTGCTGGCATGGGCGACAACCTGCCCAAACCACTGATAGTCAAGGAGAGCAACTGGGTGACTCTAGCAGTGACAGTGCAAGTTCTGAACAGAGTTTAATGGGGAAATGTTGTGAGATGCGGCATTTCTGCATTCTCCTCTAAACAGGCATGTCTGGTACTGGTTTTGAACACTCTTTCTCTATCCCTCCGCTTGGCCCCCTCCTACTCCATCTTCAGGTCACGCCTGTAGATCTTCCTCTTCGACTGTACCTCCTCCCCACAGCTTGGTGTTGTGCTCCGCCACTGTGAAGCGCTCTGGGACTCTACCCCACGTGAGGGTTGCTATATAATGCAAGTTGTTCTTGTTGTTGTTAAATGTCACCAGGTTAGTCTCTTGGTATTACAGAGGTTCATTTCAGCCATTTTACTGTCTCGTACTTTCAGATCTGCATTCTTTATGCTTTACTTGAAAAATATGCAATGTTGAAAATATGCACCTCATCATTTTATTATTTAGTAACAGGATGTTACTACCTTTCTTTCACATAGAACACTTTGTTTTGAGAAATGTAACGTACTGCAGCAAGACGACGTGTGGAACGTTGTGTGTTTTGTGGAACATGTTTATAATAATAATCTCTGAAGAAAAAGTAAATAATAAAATTGGTCACTTCGATCCACGACTGTTTATGGGACGCTGCTGTGCACAATTGGCTGCTGCATTTTGCCCACAAGTATGCATCAATTCACTTTACCGTATATTCTGTGAAGCACTTTGAGACGTCTGAAAGATGTGAAAAGCACTGTATCAATTACAAGGATTATTAATAATAATAATCATAATCTTTGCATTTGGTACAGTGCCTTTCATGTCAGGACGTCCCAAAGTGCTTCACAACAATTACTGTGAGGAGCAGTGAATGTGTATTTCTGGGTGAACGCAGTAGCCAATTCGTACACAGAAACATCTTACAAACAGCCATGAAATGAGTGACCGATTAATATATATATAGAATATTACAGCACCAAACAAGCCATTCAGCCCTACTAGTCTGTGCTTATATTTATATTCCACATGGTCTCTATTCTAATCCTCTTTCCCATACATACTGCTTTGTTCCTTTCTCCCTTGTGTTATTCGGATCTGGAATGCTTTGCCTGAAAGTGTGGTGGAAGCTGATTCGATAACAACTTTTAAGATAGAAGTAGATAATTATTTGGGGAGGCCAAGTTTGTAGGGCCATGAGGCGAGAGCGGGGGAATGGGATTGAATTGGATAGCTCTTTTCAAAGAACCGGCACAGACACGATGGGCCGAATGGCCTCTTTCTGTACTGTATAATTGTATGCTTGCGTGTGTCCCTCAAGCTGCCTACTGAATACTCTGCACCTTGGGACGTCC